AATGAAAGTTTGTTGTGCTACTGATTTACATTTGAAATCGTTGAGTAATAAATAATAATTGTATGTTAAATCTGAGTTTGGTAATGGACTGCTTTTGGTAGTAGCAAGTGCAGCTTTTAATCAAAAAGCTTTTCGATTCCATGCCTGGTTTGTTGAAAATTTTTAGTAAAATCTTGGTATCTGTTTTTTCACATGCCTTCCAGCAGCTGTAGCCAATTGCCATTTAGCGCTTATCTACATGTTGAATAGAAAACCTAATTATATTGGAATTGACGTAAATTTTTACACTTGTCAGTGTCATCACATTTAGTTTTCTACTCTCTCTGTAGACAAGCGCTAAAGTGGCGTTTGGGTAAAGGCACTTATTACGTAGGACTAAAAAACCTTAAGACTGCACATGTGTTACATACAACTTTAACTACCACATGACATAACATCACGCCTTTTAAGCCCGAAGGGGTAGACAGAGATGCACACAGAAGTAACACCTACTTTTCACTAATTATTTTATGAGTCCCGTGTAATAGTGGGTGAGGTAACTACTATTTAAAGAATAAAAGTAATCAAGGTATTTATGTTAATTAAGACTTACTTTAAGGTTAACGAAAGCTGATCATGTTACTAATTTACATTTGAAATCATTGAGTACCTAATAATTATACAATAAGACATACGAATTTGGAAGTATTTATTGTTCACTGATTACCAACCTATCAAGGACTTTTCAATATGAAAGGATTACTTTTTTGTACGCGTAATTATCTGGGCGTTTAATCGCAATTATATTTAGTTCGGATTCCTTCGTTTTTTATCTGTTAATCTTTAGTTAACGAGGGCGGTCTCGCAATTATATATTATATTATCGTATTAGTAGTGGGTGAGTCTATGTATTCATATTTGTATTTTTGCAAGCAGTTGGGTAATCAAAGTAGTTAAATAAAAATTATGTTGCCTTGTAGCTGATCTAATTGTCGAAGGTCTTAAGTAGGTGTTACTTATGTCTTTAGGGAACTTTATATTCAAATTCTGAGTATTTTTTGTCATTATTGAATAGATTGAGTAGTTAGAGGTTCATCGTCAACAACATCAGCTTAATATCTTTAGGTCTATGCAGTTTCACATTAGAGTAGGAGGTTCGACAAATATATATACCAACCCGTAATGAATTAGTGTTCTAAAGAACTAATATTATATTATGTAATCATAACCGTTATTGCATATATGAATACGTAACAATAACAACACAGAAGAACAAATAAAAATACAACAATATAATAGATTATACTGACGAACTCATTAAATCTAATTCCATCAATCTCTTTAACATAATTAATGTGAGTAACTTAACATATCATTAATTTTAATCAGATGGAGACAGGTGTCCATTTGTGATGAGGAAATAAAGAAACAAACTGTATGGAAGTAGGAAATTGTATACGGATGTATTATAATATATATTGACGAAATAATTTATGCTTGTGTAATTCTATTCCTTTGTAGGCAATATAATATAGATACTGAAAGTATCACCTAGTTTTGGCAGGTTATATTGAGTCTACAACGTCTAAATAGCACCTAAACTTTTTATGTTTGTTTTGAGTCTCTCTTTCTCTTTCTCTCTCTCTCTCAAATGTAAGAGGAATTTTCTAGTTTGGTACTATTATTAAGTACTAAGAATTTCTATAGTAATAGAAGAGACATTAAAACTATATCAATCAGGAATCTAAACCCACAATGGTTGTGCAAATGCACTTGCAACAAGATCATTAATTATCTATATTAATATATGCGACAAATTAAAACATCATTATTAAGTAAACACGGAAACAAAGATGACGCTTGTCAGGTGACTAAGATAAATACATTGTGCTAAAATCTTGCAATATCGTGAATTAATCATTGTGCCCTTGCGCATGATCGCATGACTGGTCACATTAAGTGTGGTGGATGGCTAATAGCAATAGCTGGTCTCACTTAGGATACACTTTGTTGCTAGATTTATATAGTAATAAAATAAAACGTAACATATTTCCCAAGTTTTGGATAGACATTTTGAACTAATAAAGACTATAATTGGTAGACGATCGATTGTAGTAAATAAATAAACTACACATAAACTTCTATCTATTTATTATATACCAAATATAATATTTTTTTAAATCTGTATATAGGATAAATAGTGATTATATTTAACCCGAGCGATCTATAAGGTCAAGACTTCGAAAATACCGAAATTATTGTATTTTTGAAATATCAGTTTAACAGGAAATATGAAAAAGTACGAATATATAAAGAAAGTGTGCTTACAAAACTGGTCGTAATTAAAAGAAAATCACTTATATAATGATTGAGCAAAATTTTAATAGTTCTTTAAAGAAATGTCATCGCAATCAATTACCGGATTTACCCGGATTTTATCGGAATCCGGCTCTTGTTTTATATAAGACGTAATATTATGCAATATTTCAATTATTATGAATGTAATTATTGACAGTAAATTTCCATTTAGGTGTGTAAATGTGCCTTGAATAATGTTATCCATAAATTAACTAAAATCGCGGGTTACTCACGTGAATATACTGAGAAAAGCCCTACTAGTTTCGAACCACAGAGGGGTTCTTCCTCCACTTTAATAACTCGCGATTTTAATGTCTCACGATAGATATTATAATAACAAATGTTATACATACATACATCGTTTGTTATGAAACTAGAAGAGTTTTGTAAATCGATCATAGGGAATGTGAATTCACCCGAAGAGTAAGCAAATAAGAAGCTTAGTATAGAAGTAACGTTGTTCAGATATAAAGTTTAAGTTTTTTGAAAACTATTGTAATAGTGTCGCAGGTTCGATTCCCGCACGGAACAACTCTTTGTGTGATACACAGATTGTTGTTCCGGGTCTGGGTGGCATATGTATGTGAACTTGTACGTCTGTAAACGCAGCCTCAACATTTAAAAAAAATATACGGTTATACATAAATTAATATATATATATAGTAGGCATAGACGTTTGATTGAGTATTTACCAGATAAAATCGATTGGCTTGAAAATGTAGCAAAGCATTTGTCCAAGGGAAAGGGTGTTTATCTAGTATTTTATACTAAGTCTAGGTTATCTAGAATCTAACCTTTGTAGAAGCTTTGTTCTTAACAATATAATTTGATTATCTTGCTTTATCGAAACTAAATCTATGAGGTAAAAACTGAAGCAATCTTGGTCCGGATAATGGAGTAGTTTATCATAAAATCGCTGGTCAATATTAGTGTTACCTTATAAGGAATATTTTCTTCGATAGTTCTTACTGTAGTTTCTTTGTTTTTCATACTTTTTTTGATTTCCTTCAGTAATATTATATTGGTCTGCCTTATCTTCTAGTAGTAATTATTTACTATCATTTATTCCATTTTCTCATTGGCCGAGTGGTCCCAAGTGCGACTGCCAAGCAAGGGCTTTCGGGTTCGATTCCCGGGTCGGGCAAGTAATACTAGGTTTTTAAAAAATCTGGTAACATAACATAACATCACTCCTTTTTATCCCCGAAGGGGTAGGCAGAGGTGCACATTTTGGCACATAATGCCACTGTGCCACACAATGTAACACCCACTTTTCACTATTTATGTTATAAGTCCCATGTATTAGGGGGTGAGCCTATTGCCATATACCGGGCACATTTCCAGACTCCGTGCTACTACTGAGTCTGAGACTAAAATCTGGTAATGTGCTCGGTATATATAGGATCACCCCCTGTTACATGGTACTCATAACATAAAATAGTGGAAAGTGGGTGTTATATTCTACAGTAGCATTAAGTATTGCCTACCACTTCGAGGATAAAAGGCGTGAAGTTATGTATGTTATTTAATTTTCTCTATTAGTTATAGTGTATTTTAAGTTTTACATATTAATTTTTCCTTATTGCTAAAATATACACATGTGCATTGTATTTTAAGGCAATATGGCATGGAACAGCTTTGTAGACTTAGATTAAAACAATACCAACATCAGATAAAATACCTAGTGGTAGTCATTTTAAATGCCGATCCAAGATCCTGGTTACGTAGGCTTTCTTGATTCGGACACTTTCAATATTAGCATGAAACATGGCTTTGTCTATATCGTGCCATTGTTTTGATTTAGAACTTTGAACATGATTTGGTATAATGCCGAACACTAAAATAACTTATCAGTTTTGTCCGTGTACCAACTATAATCAAGGTCAATAGGTCATTTCATGGTGGACCACAAAACCACAGATTCAATATCAAACCACGTCTAACATTTTTTATCAGTACAATTACATTCTTTATCCATCTTATAAACCAAATTTATCTAAACCAATGAAGCGATTCATAAACAAATCAATTTTAGAATAACTACAGCGTGTACGCATTTTCGTGTCTCCATTCTATTTTGACCAAAGGCCATTGTCATTCAATTATCACATCACGAAACGAAGTGTCAAAGTTCTATTTAACTTTTTTCATTGTCAAACGTTTACTTGATTGATAAAATCTTGACAAATTGATAAACGATTAACGTATTCACTTTTGGCAGACTGCTGACAAATTTTATAATAGTCAGCTATTTGATCTTTGAACTGTCAGATCGATTTTAATCGTTGAGATCGAAAGTAATCGTTTCTTTGTTCGTTTTTCGTTTTGATTCTGTGAATATTTTTAATGTTAAGGTTAGATTGATAACTTTGACATGGTATTGCACTTAGATTAAGTTGGTTCCCATCGTGTGTAGCTATTGTTTGTTAAGACAGATGGCTGTTTCTTTGCTACTGTTTTACGCAAATGCTTTTGGTATTTGTCATACTGGTTTTAAATTGATTATAAATATTCATAAGCAATATAGAAGGAATCTTTTTATGAATCACTGAACAAATTCCTTATTTCCAAGTCTAACTATATGGATTTATCGTTGAGATCATGATATTGAGAATCTGTACAAAATGCAAAAAATATTAACATGTTATGTCATAATGTTCCAGGTCCAGTGCTGTTCCCTCCATCCCCCAGCGGAGACCCCTCCCAGACCAGTGGCGTGGTCGTAGGAGCATCAGGCTACGGCTTTGTGCCTCCCGGCTCCCAAGGTAAACCCTACGGCCGATGAATTGACCTCCTAGTCACTACGTAGTTAGAACTAATATAGAAAGTACAATTTGTAACATGAGATTCAGTTTTTGAGAATAGGAAACAAGAAATACTCCCCTGTTTAACAATTCCTACAAAGGAATAGCTAAACAGGACTGTATTTCTCTTTAACACAATTTTGGCTTTATGACTCAAAATTTTATTACTAACAAAGGGTGGTTGATTCTTACTAGTGTAATTTTGATGGAGATATCTTGTATAATAGTTATTGTATGTTTATGAGTTACAAGTATTTTGTAAGTAGCGAATGTCGGATGACGAAGACTGGCGTTTAAGGTTACTAACACAATAGGAACATAAACTAGATATTTTCTAATCTCGTGTTACAAATGTGTGCGTGCCAATGTACCTATTTAATACGTTATTCTACCAAGCACTATTAATTGGAGAATAGCATATTGATTGTAAATTATTTTTTTGTTAAATATTGCTGTAGTTTAATTTAATTGCATGGGTATCTAGTTGTTGCATGATTCCCACTGATTGTTTCCCAAGGGAGTATGGTTTTATTTTGGCTGGAAAACAGGCAAATGGGACTTCAATTTGAATTGTAAATTAAACAAAATGGAAAACCGAAATGTGTGTATATACCAGTGATTTTGTTATAAATGAACTTATAATTAGAGCCCATGTTTATAATTTATAAATAAACGAATGAATTTTGATCTGTTTTATTTTTTACCTTCGCATTGCACTGTAATCCGCATGTTTGCACCGCTACAAATAAAATAGATATGTTTTAAAGGTAGAATGTAATTGAGCAATGTATTTAGTTGCTTTTAATTACACTGTAAATTAATACACGTAGTCAAAATAGTCGTGATCCAGAATCTAGACTCCTGCACGATCTACACACGACATGACAAAGCCGATCCGTCACATCGAAGCAAACCAAGGCAACTTATTTCATAAGAATTTATTTACAAACATACCAATATTATAAACACATTGTTAATTATAAATAATATAAACAACAAATAAGAAGATACTACAAAAAAATATTAACATGTATTTTATTTTTTATTTGATATTTTATTACCTTAGCCGGAAACGTTTTACAATTTGATGTGTACGTGTATAATATATACTAGCTACTTCCGCGCGGTTTCACACGCTCTGCTCAGCTCTTATTGGTCGCAGCGTGATGTTTTATAGCCTATAGCCATTCTCGATAAATACGCTATCGAACACAAACAGAATTATTCTAATCAAAATTGTAGTTACGGAGATTAGCGCGTTCAAACAAACAAACAAAAAAACAAACTCTTCCGCTTTATGTAATAGTATAAGATAATCGCAAAGTTAACCTTTGTTAATAGATTTAAGTTTAGCTCATTATGATTCCGAAGTTGACGCGCTAGGCTCGTTACCACAGAACATATATTTAGAGAAGATTTATATGTTCTGTGCTTGTTACGATGGCTGACTATAAAACTAGAATTATGTATCAAATACAGAAATATTATTTAATATATCTGTGGTATCAAATCTGTCGAGATTCTGATATTAATCTCTATCCTTGCTTATGTTTTAGAATATTAATATTAAAGATTGTGTTTGCTGTCTTGATATAATTAGATTTACTTCAAATAGTTGTTTTATAAATATTTTTCTAAGATGAAAAGTAAAGGTAAAATTTGAAATGGAAAAGGTCTGTTTTGATATGTATTTTATCATCATGAATATTTTAACAAGGAAAGTATGGAGGCTTGTTTATAGGTAGGTGGTATATTAAATATCGGACACTTATAGTTTAAATCTTACTACTTTTACTAGATACATTAGTTTTATTTTAAACCGTCTTCAAATAAAGGAGGTTCTCAGGATCTGTATGTATGTTTGTATGTATGTTTTGTACGCGATTAGCAGAACTGATTTTGATGCGGTTTTCATAAAAGTGTTACATCTTAGGAGAAGGTTTTAGGGCCGATTTTTCAATCATCAGTTAATATTTAACTGTAGAATAAAAATGACAGTTGACAGTTTTTAGTATGGAAGAATTGTCATATGTTTAAAGTTATTCCTCAATTAAAATTTTGTGAGTATTGAAAAATTGGCCCTCAGTGTATTAATTAACCGACTTCAAAAAAAATTGGGTGATTGACGTCGGTTTTTTAAACGTAGTTTTTATTGTTTAGGAATAATTTACTCATGTACCTAATAGACAATCTCATGTTATGCCTATTAAGTAGCAATAAAGGTACTAGCAACAATTTCTGGTAAAAAGTCACAGATTACACAAGACACAAAGTAAAAAGGTCAATGAATTTACCTCAATCTGTTAGTAGTTGGGTTCTTACCTGTAATTTATTATTAACACCTCTATTTAAATAAGTAACAGTCTATTGTTCTCTGAGTAAATAAATTAGGTAAATAGGTAGCCAAGAATTGAAAGGTAAGCGAAATGTCGCTTATGCGTCACCGCTCACCAGTTGGCGCCACTTTCGAATATGGTCTTGTTACTACAATTAATGTCGCCGATAAATAGATATTTATCCAAAGTTTCCGTAATTCCTCGTGATTCTAGATGTAAATTATTATTTTTTCTCGTTACGAATTTTAAACTATCTGTTGCTTTACCATGATAGTCAAAGTCAAAGTCATTTTTATTTCAATTAGACCAGGAAGGCACTTTTGAACGTCAACATAAATTTAAAGTAAAGCTATTTGCTCATTCCAAGATCATAGATAATGCATACAAATATTTTATTCTGATACACTAATTTTTGAAGAAGATAAACATATAATTTAGTATAGTTGTAAGAGCTTTGCTAATTTAAATATTTATTGATTTGTATCTGCATTTAAAGTAATAGTGGCGGTCTGGCACCAACACTTTCGTTTTAAACAATCTAAGTATTGACTCTATGCAGGGTGACTTGTAACTCGATGTATTCCTCTAGGGAGGTGATAATACAACTTATTTCCTACAAAATTTGCCCTGAAGTCTCAGGTCCGAAAGTGGCTAGTTTCTGAGATATTCAACATTTTCGCTTTTGGTAAAAAAAACCCAATCGAACTATAAAAACATCAATAAATAATAAAATTCCTCAATGGTAGTAAAAGAATTTCGTTTGGGATAATTAAAGCTCACTAGATTTATTAATAATTTGAATTTATATCCCTTTAATTTTTTGTCTTCTTCACATATCATACATTGCCGGTGGCAATCGACATTGGAGAAAATCCGTGTAAGTCAACAAGGTCGAGAATTGTACCTATAAAATTAAAAACTCTGCAACAATCGATGCATATCGAAAGTCGTGATTGATTTGACAATTGTGGACAAAGAAAATAATTACAAATAAAACGTAATAGGGAAACGAGTGCTTGCTTTCTGATCCGGCATTACGAAGGTCAGCTGTCCATGCACGCGAACTTGCGGGTCGAGTGATTTGACTTGCTTTAGGACGGTTCCACGCGTAGAACATTGATTCAATTCCTGTTATGATTTGCTGGAAGTTCTGTATTTTTTATACTTTAGCATAAAAACTCGTTTTGAAGCAGTTAATGAAATGCACGTGAACATAATTGTTATTTCACATTATGTTACATTGTTCTCGCACAATCCAAACAGCAAAACTATGTAACTAGCAAATTGTATTGTGAACCTGATTGAAAAAGAGTAACCTATGGAGTTTCTTGCTCGTTCTTCTCCATAGGAATCTACACCTTGGAATGTGCAAATAGCTTCACTTTTAATTTTTTTTGACGTTCGAAAGTGCCATTCTGGCCTAATTGAAATAATCCTAGTGTTTAAATTTTTTTATCAATGGTATAATAAGCAGCATGCTTAATACTTGGTAATTAAACTACTAAACAAACAAAAAAGCACTTAACATGCTAAAAATGCAACCTAAAAACAATCACGTAGCTATAACACAGGAATCACGATATTAAACTATAAAACCATCAAAAAAGCACAATTCAACGGCCTATAAAAATGCACCTCCACTGAATCACCCCTTGATAACTTCAAAATGGGAACTCCAATGAGTAAAACGAATACAAAAAACTGATTAAATGTGAATGTGTCAGGTGATTCAAATCATGGTCAGTAACAGTTGACTAACTCACTAGGTATGTAGGGAGCCTTATATTATAGGAACTTTGAAACTGACCGGAGGGCATAGCATTTTGACACTTCAAGTTAATATCTGACAATTAAATAAGTTAGTTGTAATAACTTTGTATAGGAAATGTAAAGGAATGTAAGATAAAGCTGAGTCATAGCTGTTGAAATGTCTGTTAATTTGTACGGGTATTGTTCCTGTAAAGTAACCTTCTGAATAAATTCGTTTAGAGATATACAACTTGCTTCGGTTTGGTTTGCACATTGTAAATTGTGCATGTTTAATTACTGATTCAATCAAGTTTGCTTTACTATAATTATTATCAAATATACGATCAACGTATACATACTTGCACTATTTATGTCAAAAAAAACAAATCAGCCGAACATAGTACCACCTCCTTTTTGAAGTCGGTAAAAATTATAATCTCCATAAGGTATGAAATGTTAAAAATTCATGCCATTTAAAATCACATTTTTAAAAGCGATAGGAAAATAATAATTAAGATAAAACAAATATAACCAGAGAACCATTATAACAATAAAACTCTCAAATAAAGGTTTCATAAAATGAATAACACAAAACGGTACGGGATTAAATAATTCATAAACGTACCTTTTTAATTGTGTTTGATGAAATTTCTTCATGACTTCATTCATATTTTCGGGTTCACTTTCGAAACGGAATATTCAATTTGGGCTCGTAATCTCGTGGGCCCTCCGTGTACGGTCAAATGCATTTTAATTATGAAATTGACATATCACAAGTCCGTTGGTAGCACATTTTGTAATTTAATAAAAGAGTTTGAACTTACGAAATTAATTGAACCCTTCAGCCGCCATTTTTCGCCGGACCTCGCAATGTTTATCTAATACATATTTATATGTTTGCACACACAGAAATAGGGTGTTGTTCTCTCGTGTGTGTTTGTTATATTAAATTTGTATTTAGAACCCTTTTAGTGTTTTGTTTTTTAATACTTTTGTTGAATAGGGAGTAATAGAAGTGATTACTGAGTCGGGTTCGGTTCTACGTGTTGGGAAAGAATAAATTCAACTTTTTTTTACATGTAATTTATGTACTGTCACTTGCGTCAATTTTCTGCCTTTCCTTAAGGAATTCAAGCATATTAATATTAGGTCATTTATCACTTTCTATTTAATCAAAAATATTTAAACATGTTCTCGATATGAGAAATAAATAGTTTCATAACATGATATGATATTTTTTATTGTTACTTGGAAGGAAAAACAGATACCTACGTCTCGAAAACTTCCCTAGGGGTTGCTAACTTAAACAGTTTCATAAGCTTTTTTGCTATGTGGCAACTTAGACATATTCTATGTTTTATGAGACAGTTTGTTTGTTTTGCTTAAGTCTCCGTTAAGAAAACATTTCGTAGAAGATTTTTCAAAAAGTTTTCGTATAAATAATATTGTCTGGCTCTTCTGTTTTAGTTGTTTTAAAATGTTTTAGAAAGTCAAATTGGATTATTCAGAGAAAAGCTACCAAGAAGTAGCTTTGATTAAAAAGTACCTAAGGTTGTGGATGACCTCAAAAATGTGTTCAATCAGAAAAAGTTGGTGATTGATCTGGTTGACTGTTAGAGAATGCCATCCGGCATTAAGTCCGCCCTCGTATGTTATAATATACAGAAGTGTTTGTTCCTGTATTTAGGACTAACAGGCGTGGTGAAATGGGATGATAAAGAGCTAGGTTTTTTCCCCGTAGAGGTTAAAATAGGTGTAGATACAAATTAATATAGGTAACTAAAATAATTCCAACACTGAGCATTAAATGTGAGCTAACAAGTCTGCATAGTAAGTTTAAATTGTAACAAGAATGGAATTGTAGGTTTGTCCTTAATGAACGGGTTCTTGTCTGACTTAAAACTTTGCACGTCTCCGATACGTGCATCGCTTGTTCTGTCTTAGGACGAGGTTTTGGCCATGGGCGCAAGCGTAAGCGTTGAGCGGAATTTGTTATGAAATTTTTTTAGGAAACCTTTGCACTTATGCGAGTTATATAATACTAGCTACTTCCGCGCGGTTTCATACGCTCATCTCAATTCCTATTGGTCGTAGCGTGATGTTTTATACCCTAAGCCATCCTTGATAAAATGGAGATTAGCGCGTTCAAACAAACAAACAAAAAAACAAACTCTTCCGCTTTATAATTATAATAGTAAAAGTAAATAAGATAATACATCTAGGTTATATACATATATAGGCCTAATTAAAGTGCTCGTAAACGACACTACTAAGAATTATATCTGTATGTTAAGCTACCTATATCTGTATGTATGTTAGCTATTTTCTATTAGACATCACGTCACACTACTTCTATCATCGATAGTACAACACATTCTTGTGATAGAGCATCGTAGCTCATGATAAAACGTCCTTGAAATTTTATCTTTACTTAATGAAACATATAGATAAGTAAAAATTTTGTCATCACTCGAATGTATCACATATTATTATATTACCGTCGGTATGCAAACCGCTACATCTTATGACTAGCACCCCACCGTGACGGAAGTGACGTGTCTCGCCGTAGCGGCGCCACGCCGGAACTCGGCTGAAGGGTTGCCCCGTCACAAATCAAGTTATGAGAAACGCCACAAAAGGAAACTTTGTGCATTTCCGAGCCGACAAGCGTGAAATCCGACACAAACGACCCCCCACAACGTTGAACTTTAAACTTAATTTCTTAAGCCCTAAAATCGCTTGGTTGTTTTAGGGAGCACTCTTCAATACCGATATAACTTTCCTTGAGTGATTATTCTTGGTATATTGAATGTGTTTATAGCGTTTTGTATTAAATTGTTAGCGCGGATGAACAATAGCTGAATGGTTCTGTTATATTTATGAATTAAAAGCTTTGATTGGTTTTATTTGGTTATGTGTTTGTCTAATACATAGAATCGATGTGAAATTTATGTTCCAAATATTATCATAGCATAGAGTCTAGATGAGGAAAATTATGAGAAAAAAAAACAACAATAACTGGTGTAAAATTGATGTTTCCTGCTATATAATATATGCATATTGAAAGCTTTCAGATGTAATGACAATTTATCTCGAAAACCGAGACCAACATAAATCCTTCTTCTTCCTCTTTATCATTATTCTTATTCTATGTAAAATTGAAATAAACATGAAATTATAAAGACTTTTAATGACACTAGATTCAACACACTACATTCAAATTAAAAGTAATGACAAACTAAATAGCTAAATTGAACGTTTAAAATTTACATTATAATCTATTAATAAACTATTACTATAACACAATGTAAATGAAATGTGAATAAAAACGTAACTGTTATACATCTAAAGTAATTTAGTTTGTTCTTATAACCTTGTGGTTAGTTTTACTAATATTGTTACCAATCTAAATTAAATATCCGTTTATATGTTTTGTCATACAAATTAATATTTGAAAGTATTTAAGTACTACCTTATATTAATAATACGCAAGAATAAAATTGTTTCGTTGTATTAAATAGACTATATATAAATATATATACATATATGTATATATATACACTTGACGACCATATCAAACTCTTATTACTGCTCCATCCAATGGTGGTCTGTAAAAATCGCCCTGCGCGATAAGACTGCCCCTTGTACGATATTTTTGTTGATGCTATCGTTGTTATTGTTGATCGAAGATGCTATCCTATTATTTAATTGTGTGTCACAGTCAAAGTCAAAAGTCAAAATCATTTATTTCAATTATACCAGGATGACACAATTGAACGTAAAAACAAAATATTAAAATATAAAAAATAATTAGTCTGTCGGCCAGTCTTTTAGTGAAGCTATTTGCTCGTTCCAAAGTATACATTTCTATGAAAAATAATGAGCAAGAAACTTCATAAGTTACTCTTTTCCAATCAGCTTCACAATACAATATTCTTGGTTACATTGTTTCGTTGGTGTATGTACAATAAAGTGTATATTATAAATATATAAACAGGTTTCAAAACTACTGAACGGATGTTAAAAATATTTCAGTACCAAAAATACTTTTTTCAGGGACTAACATAGCCTCTCTCAATATTCTGACAGGATTGGAACTTGTTCGAGAAAAATTTAAGTTGTACGCAAGCATATAGTCGCCGATTAAAAGCTAGTTTGCAATAAATTATTAAAGTACCTACTATTGAGTAAATTGTTGTCGTGTCTAGACAATTAGTACCATACCTATACACAGCACGACCTGTCAAATTAATTTTATAGATTTTAAACTTTAACGAGTGTATAAGAAAGTTCAAAATGTGTTATAGATATTGGTACCTAGTTGGTAGCTTAATGTGCTGGCTTTGTAGAGGTACGGTTTTGAAGGGATTGCCGTCTTGGTCTAGTGAGCAGGTTCACGACTGTAGATCACGAGGTTTTGCGGTCGATACACGCTTATAACAAACATAAATTTAGACTGATTTACAAACTGCTGCTAGCTTTCATTTTATCTTTGTGCTATTTTTAGTCTAATTGGTCCTGGGATAAGAATTCTTAAATTTATTTTACTAACATCTGCCACTCCAGCAAATATTTCTTTTTGTGCTAAGTACCTCTTGCCTTGTTGTTGTTGATAGCTGAGGGAATCGGAATTATTTAATCAAACATTTCCCAGTAAATTAAATATTTATCTTCTACAAAACAGGGATGGAATGTCAATTATTCCACCATGATTAATTAATAAAAAAATAAACGTGGTGGCTCGGAGGTTTAAGAAGCCTGCTTCTCATGCACGAGAGTGCGCGATCAAAACCTATCAACGGCAGTTACCAATGTGGTGTTTTCCAAGTTATACTTTCTAGTATTATTTAAACACCACAGACAAACGGTGAATGAAAACATCATGAGAAAACCAGGGCTTATAATTTCTAATTATAAGTTTGAAATTGCCAGCCCGCATTGAGCAAGCGTGCTGATTAATACTCAAACCTTTTCTGTGTGAGAAGAGGCTTTGCTCAGCAGTGGGTATTTATAAGCTGTTGATTAATTAATTAATGCAATAACAATGAATAATCTAAGCAGATACATTAGAATCGACACTAGCAGAGCGATACAATATACATAACATCACGCCTTTTATCCCCGAAGGGGTAGGCAGAGGTGTACATTTAATGCCACTGTACAATGTAACACCCACTTTTCACTATTTATGTTATGAGTCCCATGTAATAGGTGGTGAGCGTATTGCCATATACCGGGCAACATTCCAGACTCCGTGCTACTACTGGGATTTTTTGAAAAAGCTCTGTAGTACTTTGCCCGACCCGGAAATCGAACCCGGGACCCCTTGCTCGGCAGTCGCAATTGCGACCACTCGGCCAACGATGCAGGCAACAATATACAATTTTCTAAAATTACCTAATGCATATTTTCCCTATTTTCAGGACCTGCGATACCAAGATTCTTCTACAGAAGACGCCTGTATCTAAGAAGGTAGAGCTATATAGTTAAATATACACGAAATGGTGTCTACGTATGTCTGTTTGTACAAATGAATTATTTAATTACTGTTCGAGTACCTTTTTGTGTTAAAATTAATAAAATTATTTGATTTATGAACGTGTCAATGTATGCAGTGTGTTCTATATATTGATGTTAAACTGTGTCACCATTATTTAATATGTTTTAATGGCTATGATAGGCCATAATGATGATCATAGCCCTTGACTTGAAAATATAATTTTGTATTATCACATAATTATTTTAATTAAGCCAAATCTTTATCATAATTATTAAATTATAATATACATAAAGATTTATGCCTTGGGTTTATACATACGTAAGTGGTGGTATTGGTACAGGCGGTAACAACATAATATAATGAATGAAGACAACATCTGTTGTCGGCGGTATTTCCGAACCGATTAAACCTTCAATAAAAGAGCGTATTCCTTTTTAAAAAGCCGGCAATGCACCTGTGGCTACTCTGGTGTTGCAAGTGCCTATGGGCGGCATTGATCGCTTACCATCAGGTGATCAGCATGCTCGTTTGCCGTCTATTAAATAAAAAAAATTGGTTGAATTAAAACTTACACTTACATACAAAACTTCGCGCCGGTCTCTCATGGGAGTAGGGAGAGACTATGGAAAGTCAACAACGCTTGCTACGATTCCTACATCTCCTCTATCTACCTCTTTCATCCGCTTCATCAACAGTCATCAATCTTTTGATGCATGCTCCTTAATTAAAACTAGCAAATAATTTTATTTAGCAACCGCAGTAATAGGGTTTAAAAAGTTGCTTAATGGAGTGGATGTCATAATAATAATATTTCATGTAATTCCTCATTGTATCGATTCCAAACATGAAGTCAACTAAAGTCGTGTTAATTCCATATTTGGTGATTATGTACGCATGATTCTACAAAGGTTCAGTAATTCTCGTGTGATACTTATAATACATGATACCATGTTAGACACATGAATATTTTTGTGAAGTATTTACATTGTATGTAAATACAGTTGACTGTTCACTTATTGCCAATGTGACTGTATTTTATTTTAACTCGTCGAGTACCGGTTTTGTAGACACAATTATAGAACAATAGGTTGCGGTCACCGGTGACCGCTTGGTGTTTGACAGTTTAATTACAGGTACAATTTTGTAATTATTATCAATATAATAATACAATACCTACAATACAATAATAAATCAGTATGAATTATTTTTTCAAGTTCAAAAATAAATAAAAAATAATGGTGAGACACGTTTCTCTCTATATATTATATTCTTTATAATGTAAATACAACACATTAACGATAAAAAACTGTGATACAATAAAATAAGTATGTATTTACAATGAAAGAATGACAGTTGTATTTTATACAATAAATAAAGTGCCGAATGTATTATTTTGTATGAAATGCGAGAGCTGATGTGAAATGTAATGTAAATAATGAAAAATGTATGTAAATAAACCTGTAATATATTTTGCGTGTGATGTTTTGATTTCCTTATCGATTACCCTCCTTGTTTTTAAAAAAATAGGGTTTAGCTTTACCTATACCCAGTATCGGCCAGTTAGTTACAAATTACAATAGCTAGGGTAGCTAATGTCAGCCTGTCAAAGTTCAAAGATGTCAAATTCATAGATCGTTAGGAAATATATTACATGTTTCTATTCTGTTTTTTATAATTATATTCTATTAATTTGTATGAGATTTTGGGAACAGGCTAGTACTGAAAATCAGCGGCTCGACTCGAGCAATCGCGCTCGTAACACGGAATTTTAGCTGAGCACTGGCCTTTTTGCACCGTGTACACTGTTGTTTTTTTTTACAATTTTATTTTCTTGTTTTTTATGTAATGGTGCAAATAAACAGTTTTTTTTCTTTCTTTTCAATAAGACGAGAAAATCTTGTCAGACTTTTAAAACCCAGCAGATCTCATTACATACACGTGCATAAACCGCGTTTTTTAGGTTAATCAAGCATATCTCCTAGTCTTTACGTGTCTTTTTGGATCATGAAAGGTGCGATGTTACTCTATTTGTTACCATGGGAAAATCTTATTCAAACTCACATTTGTTTGAGGGTTTCAAAGGCGTTTTATTAGATATATTTTCCCTAAGACTTATTGGAAATGTATAGTAAAAGATAAATGAGATTTGCGTCCACAGATGTAGTTTCCAACCACTTTGAGTGGCTCTCTCGCCTCATATCATACCCTAAACGAAATTGACTATTTTGAAGGGTAGGTACATAAATGTGTTATATAGTATTTTGTCGTGCATTTAGTGTCCCATATTTTTGGTCCATTTTTACATGAATACTTACTTTCTTTTATTCTTTTTTATATTTGATGGGCTGACGTTTGACCACTATCACGCCTGATGGTAAGCCATGATGCGATCTACAATGGAGCACGTCGTCCCATAAGCTACCTTTCTATTAAGATTGTTACCATGTTCAATAAAATAATTGGTAACGCCGTAATAGAATATGGGATAGTAACAACCAGCGATAGGTTTTTAGAAACGACTTTGTTACACAGTCACATATTTGTGAAGAAATCTATAATTTAAATATTGATAACATTGACCCAAAATTATTTTCCTGAGTTTTATTAATTTGACGATCCGATGTTTGGTAAAATATAATGTCAACTGCTGCAATGCCTTGTCTGATGCTAAAAAACAGTTTGCCTTAAACTTTTCCGCAGGCTCCTTTAAAACATTAATTAAATTATTTTATCACTATTCAATAGCTCTGAATGTATTGTGCAAAGGATTTTCAAAACAATTTGATGTATAAATGACGAAATAGTGCACAATATCCTCTGCACTTTCTTGACTAAGGATATAAGACGTATTTGCCACAGAGGGTTATTTATTTTTAAATTAGATTTCGTTTCGGATCCTGTCTACCTTCTGTTTTATACTCAATCCATTATGTAGAACCTATCACGTCTACGCCTCAAAGAGATTGGTGATTTCTTTTGTTATGTAGTTTCTTTGAAATTCAAATTTTGGACAGAAAATTCGTTTATCGAAGGTGAATGAGCAATATTTGATGTGTATATGATATTTTGTTTACAGGCTTATTTTACTTAACATAGGTATTCTAAGGATTCCTTTGTTGCATTTTATGATAAAATAGAATATATGTGTCATATCGCCTAATCCCTCGTAGGACAATAATATTATGTTACATTGCCATGCATACAAATATTGAGTTAAGATCCAGCAACATCATCACCCGTGTCCTTCCACTGTTGGGCCCTTATAGATCATAACATAACATCACGCCTTTTACCCCCGAAGGGGTAGGCCGAGGAGCTCATTACGGAACTTAATGCCACTGTACAATGTAGCACCTACTTTTTACTATTTATGTTATGAGTCCCATGTAATAAGAGGTGAGCCTATTGTCATATACCGGGCACTATTCCAGATTCCGTGCTACTACTGAGATTAAAAAAAAACATATGTATAAATATATATCGAGGGGTAACGGGCTATTTGGTTTAAGCGACATTTTTGCAACTTTACAGGAGAGCCTTTTAAAGTTTGAAATTTCGAAAAAAAATTCATAACAAAAACGCTTCTGCAGATATTTGAACAGGGTAAATTGCATTGAAATTTAAATAAAAATATCTAGTTGCTGATGCTAATTCCAAATAAAGCGGACCTTTAATTACAAAGATAAATGTCGCTTAATACAATCTGCCCTTTTTTAGAGTCAGGAAAAATGATTTAAGTGACTTCATAACTACAATTGGCTACAAGGGAAAAAAATTAAGCGACGATGCACTCTATTTACAGAGTAAGCCAAAAAGTATGAAGTAACGAAACCCAAAATAAATAGAAGCAAGCTATTTATCTCAACTACCAATTTAGACCAAAATGAGTAACAGGCTAATTTACTTATGTGACATATAACATTGAAATTGTATCGTTAAATGTTTATGTTTATTTACATCTAAGACGATTAATGGCTGATAAAACAACCTGGATATATCGAAACAACCGAAAATCTCAGGTGCTTACATCGGATAAATAAACACAACACAATATCAAAGTATTTATTTAGATTAATAATAACAGTCTGCATAGGAACAACGATTATATTATTATTTATTCAGCAAAATCAGATAAATTAATGGGTTATTTACTGAAATTGCCGTTTTGTATGAAAAAATTTAAACGATTTTTTTCATGTATTTTTTATTTGTATTTATCGAAGTAATCACCCATGTAATCAATGCATCGTTGCCAACGCAGTGGCAGTTTATTGGGCATCAATAAACTGCCACAAAATACTTCTTAAACAAATCAGCTGGACGGGTGGCAACAAATTCTTTAAATGCATTTTGTACTGCCTCTCGGGTAATGAATTTTTTTCCCGCGAAGAAGTTATTCAAATTCTGGAAAAGAAGTAGTCTGGTGAGTAGGGTGGATATTGGAGAGCTTCCAACCCCAGTTCTTGTAACTTGGAGACCATCTGTTGTGCAGCTTTAGGTCGCGCGTTGTAATGCAGGAGCAATGGAGATGAGCGATTGACCAGTGCTGGTTGGAGATGTGTCAGCTTCTCCATCATTGTGTTCAGTTCTTCACATTACACATCCGCAGTAATGCTCACTCCGTTTGGTAAGAACCTGTGATGAATCAGACTGGCGCTAGACCATCAGTGACCATCACTTTTCTAGGAGTAAGTTTTCGTTTCGGGTATTGTTTAGGTGCTGAACTAACTACTACTACAACTATGTTGAGCAGTGCAAGGCACTGCTCGATGCATACTTAGCTCTGGCGATCATTGAGTTTGTGGGACACCCACTTGTCAAGTTTTTTTACCTTGCCAATTTGACGTAAATGGACCAATATTGTTTTGATGCTAACGTCGAAAGCTGTTGCTAAATCAGCCGTAGATTGTATGTCATCAGCTTCCACAATAGCCTATTGTCACCAAAGTCTTCGGACGACCGCGAGGTTGATCTTGAAATTAAAGTACTTAGGATTCAATTTCGATGAGCGTTTTACGTAAACACTGGCGGTGAGTGCGCGTCCCGTCTGTCTTCGACGCATTCTGGAGTGACTGAAGCGCCAGCGCACGATAGTCCAGTTGGATGATCACGATTTTTAACACCCGGGCGATGAAATAAATATAGTATCATATGACATGATTGAAATGTACCATATTAAAATTTAGTGATTTAAAGACCGATTCATATTTTTATGAATACTGGCAAAATGTTTCAATATCCATTATTAATGTTATCATCTGTATAAAACGACATGCATTTTAAAAAAAAGGAGGGCTAAATGATTTATGACTAAACAAAATATCTGAACGAAAACGACTATTTGGTTTAAGTAGCACCCTGCGTGGAAAATAAAAGCAGCTAGAAGTGTTTAAGAGACGAACCATGTCGTATTTGGGTGACGGATAAATGTTTTAAGCGACAACACACCGTGTGATTAGTGGGAAGTCAAAATGATTCAAGTTACTTGCTAGTAAAAATTAGAAACAGGAAAAACGCTTTAACTCATTTTGACTTATTAATTAGAGATAGGGTGACTGGTTTATGTCTCGGTTATTAATATGATGGTATGGTTCAAGTACATAATTTAATAAAAAATGCGAAATCCATGTCGTTTAATACACTGTCACTTTGGAAACAACACGAAAATAGAATTGTTTCAAACGCCAAAAAAGTGCTCCGATTTTAATGAAACCGGCATCAATCGACGGAGAAAAATTCGCTGATTCCGAATATATATATAACTCAATATCGCCCAAAATGTCGCTTAAACCAAATAGCCCGTTACCCCTCGATATGTATGTGATTGATAATTCAAAATATTTAAATGAAATGAAACAATAAGTTAGCTTGCTTCAATAATTTATTGCATTGCCATTAAGTCCGTTACCAATAACCCGATACCATTGATAGATACGTGTTTAAGATGATTTAAATCAGTTTCCTTGTTGACCGGGTTTTTTGTGGCGTCTTAGCTGTCCTAAAACGTCTTTTAGTCGTTTATGTCCTTCATGTTTTTTATGTCCTTCGTGTCCTTTGTGTCCTTCATGTCTTTTGTGCCATTCGTGTCTTTTGTGCCATTTGTGTCCTTTGTGCCATTTGTGTCCTTTGTGCCATTCGTGTCCTTTGTGCCATTCGTGTCCTTTGTGCCATTCGTGTCCTTTGTGCCATTCGTGTCTTTTGTGGCCTTCGTGTTTTTCGTGATTATGGAGTTTGTGTTTATGTTCTGGAATAGTAATGAATTATATTAAAGTTTTAATTAATGTTATCTTCATATAAATCCATCAAAAATATATTATCGCTGTCATTCTAATATAGTAAGTTTCATGCCATGAGCGGTGCCGAATGGCCTTTGCTTATCATCAGGTGATCCGTCAACTCGTTTAGCGGCTTATCCAATAAAAAAAGTACGCAAAGCAAACAACTTGTTTGCCAATATTATGAGAGAAAAAGGCGACAAACAAATTGAATGTAACATAGTACATGTTTGACTTTGGTAAGTTTTAAGTTTGAAAGGATGCAAATACCACTAAAGTAATTTTATTTTCAAAATTTATTTACAGGTGTCAAATTATGTTCTCACCTCCTTTTGGGTTCAATTCCGATTCATCTTCGTTACAAAGGCAGAGTTTTGTTCTTGGTATTCGAAGTTTAGATAATTTCTCATGATGTCTTTCTCTTGCACGATCACGGGCTGTAAACAAAATTGTGTTATAATCATTGAAAATAATGATATAAGCGCACAACTTTGCAATAACAAAGTTTGGACGATGAGGTCTTAAATATTACTGCACAACACAAAAAAGTGTCAAAATATACCCTACAGAGTTACAACCCTACAAGTGGCAAATCCTATATATTATCTCAACTAATTGACGTAAATACAAATTATAAAGATATATATTTTTAATTTGTAATGAAATTAAAGTAGTTTTACCTTTCGAAATTCGAGTTAGGTATTTCTTCCAAATTTCGATGTATTCAGATTTTCTTTTCCTTCTGCTTGAATTACCACACCTTACAGGGTGTTTGCCTTTTTCTGATTTTGATCCTTCTTCCTTTGATTTCTCCGCTGATTCTGATTCCTCTCCCGGCGTCAATTCTCCTGACTTTGATTTTTTCTCCTGTGACTCTTCTCCTGATTTGGATTCTTGCGATTCTTTTGATTTTGATTCATATGATGGCTTGTCTTTACCTGACGTTGATTGATCTCCTGATTCTGACTCTTCACTTGACTTCGACTGTTCCTGTGACTTATCTCCTGACCCCGACTCCGCTGATTTTGAATTTTCCGCAGATTTCTCTCCTGACTTTGGTTCTTCCTCATCAGATTTCTCTCCAGATTTTGATTTACCCTCCATTGATTCTGATTCATCTTCCTGCGACTTTTCTCCTGATTTTGAATTTTCCACAGATTTCTCACCTGACTTAGATTTACCCTCCATTGATTTATCTTCCTGTGATTTCTCTTCTAACTTTGATTCCTCTTGTGATTTCTCACCTGACTTTGATTCGTCTTCCTTAGACTTCTCTCCTGATTTTGGTTCTTCCTCCCCAGATTTCTCTCCAGATTTTGATTTACCCTCCATTGATTTTGATTCATCTTCCTGCGATTTCTCTCCTGACTTTGATTCGTCTTCCTCAGATGTCTCTCCTGATTTTGTTTCTTCCTCCCCAGATTTTTCTCCAGATTTTGATTTACCCTCCATTGATTTTGATTCATCTTCTTGTGACTTCTCTCCTGATTTTGATTCTTTTTCTACAGATTTCTCTCCTGATTTCGATTCACCTTCCATCGATTTTGATTCATCTTCCTGTGACTTTTCTCCTGATTTTGATTCCTTTTGTGATTTCTCTCCTGACTTTGATTCGTCCTCCTTAGATTTCTCTCCAGATTTGGGTTGTTCCTCCTCAGATTGCTCTCCAGATTTCGATTTACCCTCCATTGATTTTGATTCATCTTCCTGTGATTTTTCTCCTGATTTTGATTCCTCTTGTGATTTCTCTCCTGACTTTGATTCATCCTCCTTAGATTTCTCTCCTGATTTTGGTTCTTCTTCCCCAGATGTTGATTTACCCTCCATCGATTTTGATTCCTCTTCCTGTGACTTTTCTCCTGATTTTGATTCCTCTTGTGATTTCTTTCCTGACTTTGATTCGTCCTCCTTAGATTTCTCTCCTGATTTCGATTCACCTTCCATCGATTTTGATTCATCTTCCTGTGACTTTTCTCCTGATTTTGATTCCTCTTGTGATTTCTCCCCTGACTTCGATTCGTCCTCCTTAGATTTCTCTCCAGATTTTGATTTACCCTCCATTGATTTTGATCCATCTTCCTGTGACTTTTCACCTGATTTTGATTCCTCTTGTGATTTGTCTCCTGACTTTGATTCGTCCTCCTTAGATTTCTCTCCTGATTTTGATTTTTTCTCCCCAGATTTCTCTCCAGATTTTGATTTACCCTCCATTGATTTTGATTCATCTTCCTGCGACGTTTCTCCTGATTTAGATTTCTCGTGAGATTTGTCTCCTGACTTGGATTCACTCTCTCCTGATTTCGATTCACCCTCTATTGACTTTGATTTGTCGTCTTGTGAGCTTTCTCCTGATTTTGATTCCTCTTGAAATTTCTCTCCTGATCTTGATTCATTATCTTTTGATTCATCACTTTCAGATTCTTCTCCTGATTTCGTGCCTTTTCCCGGTGTCACTTCTCCAGGCTTCGCTGAACCACCGTTTCCTCCTACAAAGTTATAGTTCTGTGATTTGGTGGTTCTACCTAGAATGTTTTCTGAAAGTTTTAAAAATCAGCAATTTTGTAGATTTTAATATGGCTTTTTGATTTCCAATTTGCACCTTTGTACACGTGCGTAGCGCACGCGCTACTCGCGCCGCCATCTTGGAAATGTGGAGACCAATAACAGCTTTTTTTACAATGTCTCTTTTTCTGTGCATTTTACGAGAAATCCCATTGCCTACGAAATTAAATTACCCCCAATTTTCTTTAATTTATGTCTAGATAGCTTTTTGGTAACAGAAGTAGTTTTGGCGCAAGAGTACTGCAAAGATAATTTTTATGCATTTTGAGAAAAAAATTTACTAAGTACAAAATGGTGCAAAAGTGCAATAAGGAAATCGAAAAGAGCACATTAAAAATTACAAAACTGCCGATTTTCAAAACTTCCGGAAAACTTACCAGGTGACTCCCATATTTATCGCCTTATTTATCGGACTATTATGGCCCAACCTTATTGTTTTTGTCATAACATCATAATTATGGCGAAATTTAATAAAATCTTTTGCTTTATAGATAATCTCCCTCTACCTTTACGTTATTTTACGTGATGTTTCTTACCTCCATTGTTTACAACAGTGGAATATGCACCTGACTGCGCTGCTGAGCCACCGCGACCTGCTGACGGTTCAACCTTTTACTTTTGTTCTAGCCAAAGTACATAGAAATTGTAATAAAATAACATATCAAACAAGCAGTCATAAAGTTTGTCTAAGATTAATTTATGATACTGTAGGAGTATTATTAAGCCTAAGTTATTTAGTTTTTTTAATATAAATGTTTTTCTTATTTATAATTTTGTATTGTCTGTCTGTCGTATATGGAATTTATTCTGAAATAAATGTTTATTATTATTATACTATTATTTACCTCCATTGGTTACAGCACTAGAATATGCTCCCGACTGAGCTTCACCACCTCTGCCTCCTGTAAAGTCAAAATAACGTACTATTTTACTTCGGTATTGATTTAAATACTTTAAGACAACATAACATCGCCTTTTGTTCTCAAAGGAGTAGGCAGAGGTGCACATAATGGCCCTTAATGCCGCTGTACGATGTTATATCATTACGTATTATGCATTTTTCACTATTTTATATTATTAGTCCCATGTAATAGGGGGTGAGCCTGTTGCCATATTCTGGGCACATTTCCAGACTCCGTGCTACTACTGAGATTTTTTTTAAAACCCAGTTATACTTTGCACGACCCGGGAATCGAAGCCGAGATCCCTTCGCCTGTAGTCACACTTGCGACCACTCGGCCAACGATAGTCACTTGAATCACTTTGAATTTTACAATAAAATGTACTTTTAATAGCTGTTGTGTAAAGTTAATCTTAAAAATCGCTATTCTTACCTCCATTGGTTACAGCACTAGAATATGCGCCAGACTGTGCTGTTCCACCACTGCCTCCTGTGAAAGTGTATATTTTTTTATTTCACATTTTATTTTTTATCTCTAGTCAAAGTCAGGACAAAGTGTCGTCAGTAACTTGATTAACCTCAAATTGAATAGGTAACATTAAAATTCAATAACATTGATAGACAATTACATTATTTTACAGATTTTACCTTCATTGGTTACAGCAGTTGACTGCGCTCCTGATTGTGCTGAACCTCCTCTGCCCGCTGTAAACATTTAGATTTAGTATTAATTATGTTATTGCTTTTTTAAATTTCAGTAAAAAAAAGTATTAAAATATATAAAACATTATCTCCGTTGGTTACAGCACTAGAATATGCTCCTGACTGCGCTGCACCGCCCTTTCCACCTGTATATATTTTGATTTACTTTTAATTGTTTGTATTGTCAGTCGCAAGTTAATGGGTAAACCCTTATATACGAGGAACATAACATAACATCACGCTTTTTATCCCCGAAGGGGTAGGCAGAGGTGCACATTACGGCACTTTACAATGTATCATCCACTTTTCACTATTTAAAAATGTTACGACTCCCATGTAATAGGGGGTGAGCCTATTGCCATATACCGGGCACAATTCCAGACTCCGTCCTACTACTGAGATTTTTTTTAAAACCCAGTAATATTTTGCCCGACCCGGGAATCGAACCCGAGACCCCTTGCCCAGCAGTCGCACTTGCGACCACTCGGCCAACGAGGAAGTCAGAAATCTTTTTAATATTTTTAATATTGAAATGATTTTATCACGATATTTACCTCCATTGGCTACTGCACTAGAATATGCCTCTGACTGCGCTGCACCACCCCTTCCTGCTGTTAAGTTTGAGTTAGTTTATTTTGCTTGGTTCAATTGCTTGTATATTTCAGGTCAAATTGTAATGGATAGTTCCTATAAAGTAAGACTTTGCCCGATACAGGAATCGAACCCGAAACCCCTTGCCCGGCAGTGGCACTAGCCACCAGATGGCCAACGAGGCAGTTTTAAAAAAATCCCAGTAGTAGCACGAAGTCTGGAATTGGCAATAGGCTCACTCCATACCACAGATGGGGCCCAATAGGGCCGATGCCGATTCGGAGTCGCGGAGAACCTAACGGGTAACCGGGGCTCCGGCTCGACGTGCAGGAGAAGGAACGGGGTGGTTTTTAGTCAGTAAGAGTCTGACACTCCCTCCCGCCTCACCCAGGCGGGGGCAGTCATTCGATGATTTTCCCCCCTTAAAAAAAAAAAAAAAAAGGCTCACTCCATATTATATGGGACTCATAATAAATAGGGAAAAGTGGGTGGTACATTGTACAGTGGCATTAAGTGCCGTAATGTGCACCTCTGGTTACACCTTCGGGAATAATAAGCGTGATATGTTATGTATAGTTTCTATAGAAATAACTATTTTTACCTCCATTAGTTACAGCACTAGAATATGCCCCTGACTGGGCTGCACCACCCTTGCCTGCAATAAAGTTACGATTTGTTTAATGTACTTTGCTTAGAATATTGATCACATGCCTTACATTGTGATTATTTAATTTAATATATTTAAAACAAATTAGCATTTATACCTCCATTAGTTAGAGCACTCGAATAGGCACCAGACTGCGCTGCACCGCCCTGGCCGGCTAAAGCATCATTGAAATTTAATTATTAAATTAATTAAGTGAATAAAAAATAAGTTAACAATATAATTATTTTACCTCCGTTTGTTACAGCACTGGAATAGGCTCCAGACTGAGCTGCACCACCCTTACCTGCTGTAAACATTCAATCATTGATAGTTTAGTTTTACGATCACGTTGTTTGTATCACTGCCTGCCTCTCACTGACTGTCTCGTTGATCGAGTGGTCGCAAGTGCGACTGCCGGACAAGGGGTCTCAGGTTCGATTCCCAGGTCGAGCAGAGTATTACTGGGTTTTAAAAAAAATCTCAGTAGTAGCACGGAGTATGGAAATATGCCCAGTATATTGCAATAGGCACACCTCCTATTACATGGGACTCATAACATAAATAGTGAAAAGTGGGTGACACTTCTGTGTGCACCTCTGCCTACCCCTTCGGGAATAAAAGGCATGATATTATGTTGTTTGTATCATAAAAGACATAAGCGGTTACTTTGAGTCGTTCATTAACAAAGATATAATTTAATTAATCCTTTACAGTCTGTGAATAATGTATTTCTTACAAATAACTCACCTCCACTAGTTACAGCACTTGAAGTAGCGGCTGACTGTGCTGAACCACCTTTACCTAAGTTAAAGAAAATAGTTTGAAGTTTTTTTCATTCCTCTTTTCTATGTATTTTTTTAAGGGGGGAAAATCATCGAATTACTTCTCCCGCCTGGGTGAGGCGGGAGGGAGTGTCAGACTCTTATAGACTAAAAACCACACCGTTCATACTCTTGTACTTCGAGCTGGAGCCCCGGCAACCCGTTAAGTTCTCCGCGGCATCTTTTCTATATATTGATTTACCAAATCGTGAAAGTAAATACGATGTTTTAATCTGTAAATATTTTTAAATGATTACCTCCATTAGTGACAGCGCTCGAAGATGCGGCTGACTGCGCTGAACCACCTTTACCTAAGAAAAAAAGTGGGTTTCGATGTATTTTAAATTTTGTTTTATTCTGATGGGCCGACGTCTGTCGTTTGACGAATATTTCGCGTGGTGGTAAGCGATGATGCGGTCTACGATGGAGCACGTCGTAAAATATAACTTTTCTTTCAATTGATGTAACAAATTATTAAAAAATACGTGTGACCTAATTATGTTTTAATCTTTCAAATATTTTTAAATTACTAATCACTATATCATGCATTAAATTGAACTGTTATTTTACCTCCATTAGTTACAGCACCGGAATATGCGCCTGATTGAGCTGTACCGCCCCTGCCTCCTATGAATTAAAATATTGTTTTACTTATATGAATGACATAACATAATGACGTAATACATTTGAATTCTATATTTGAAATAAATAATATTAGTTACATCACCCCCTCTTACCTCCGTTAGTTACAGCACTTGAATAGGCACCTGACTGCGTTGAACCGCCTCTACCTCCTAAAATGTTTCATTCGTTTTAAATATAAAAGAAAAAAACCGTGAAACAAAATAAACAATGCTGCCAGCCTGGGTACTTTCCCCACTGACGTCGATACGAATTTTTCGATGCCTTATGTAAATAGTTGTTTTTAGTTTTATTTTAATTAATTTTTATCTTAAGTTGTATATATTTAATTTAGTAATAGTTAGTATTTATTTTATTGAAGTTTTTATTAAAATAAAGGATCTATTAACCATTTAGTCGATTCGAGAATCATCTAATTTTTAAATACTTACACAAGTTTTATTTTATTTTAAAGATAGTTTTGAAAATAATATCATAAAAAATATTTGGTTTGTATTTTATGAAATCTGTCATGTCTAGTAATCTAGTCTTACCTCGATTGGTAACATGTATAATTTTCTATTATAGAAAAACAAATGCGAGTGTCATACATAATTAAATTACAATTATGAAATATGACCAACGATGTAGTGATTCTTACCTCCATTAGTGACAGCACTTGAAGTCGCTCCCGACTGCGCTGAGCCACCTCTGCCTCCTATAAATATTAAATTTATCATAAATTTATTACTGCCCCGTTGGACGAGTGGTCGCAAGTGCGACTGCCGGGCAAGGGGTCTCGAGTTCGATTCCCGGGTCGGGCAAAGTAATACTGAGTTTTATAACAAATCTCAGTAGTATCACGGAGTCTGGAATTGTGCCCGGTATATGGCAATAGGCTTTACCCCCTATTATATGGAACTAATAAAATAAATAGTAAAAAGTGGGTCTTACTTCTGTGTGCACCTCTGCCTACCCCTTCTTGCGGGCATAAAATGCGTGATGTTATGTCACAATTTCTTTAAGATAACGTTAATTTTGTTTAACTCAATAAAATATCGAAATGACGCTTTAAGTATTTTATGAGAACAAGACACCTCTGTAGGACCTTATATTACGTACCTACATTCAATGCAAATAAATTATTTTATTCTATTCTAAGACAAGTATTTAATAATAAATGTATTACCTCCATTGGTTACAGCACTAGAATATGCCTCGGATTGCGCCGAACCGCCTCTACTACCTGTAAATTTGTTAACATTGTTGTAAAAGTTTATTTAGCAAAATGGCTAAAGGGATCGAAATGAAATTTGGAATAGGAGTAAATTATGGTATTTATTTTAAGGGGGGAAAATCATCGAATGACTTCTCCCGCCTGTGTGAGGTGGGAGGGAGTGTCAGACTCTTACTGACTAAAAACCACTCCGTTTCTACTCCTGCACTTCGAGCCGGACCCGTTAGGTTCTCCGCGACTCCGTATCGGCATCCGCCCTATTGGGCCTCATCCCTGGTGATTTGATGCCCGCGCTTACGGTGGCCGGAGATCATCTCGCGATTCCCGACGCCCGGAGTCCTTCGCGACGGATAGGTTGTGAGGAGGCAGCGCTTTGCTGCCTCATGCGCTCCGCCTCCTCCTTAGCTAGCATGACTGCTTTGCAAAAGGAGGAGAATAACATTTAGGCCACTTTTTATCCTCAATTGTTTAGCGTAAAGCGTTGTCAACGTTATTATATATATCCATATCCATGTGAATGTTTCTATTACCTCCGTTGGTTACAGCACTAGAATATGCTCCCGATTGCGCTGCACCACCTTTGCCTCCTGTAAAGGATTGGATATTATTACAATCATAGTTAAAAAATATTATTGATAGTATTATTATTGTAAAAATATTTTCTTACCACCATTGGTCATAGCATTTGAGTATGCTCCGGATTGCGCTGAGCCACCCCTGCCTCCTGTGATATTTAATTTACTTTTATATATTTTATTTTTCCTCTTAGTCTTCCATCTTATGCATTTTTTTTTATTAATAATGTACATAACATAACATCCCGCCTATTATTCCCGAAGGGGTAATCAGAGGTGTACATTACAGCAGTTACTGCGAATGTATAATGTAACACTCAGTTTTCACTATTTATGTTGTGTGCCCAGGTACAGGGGGTGAGCCTGTTGCCATACACGTTTCCAGACTCCGTGTTACTACTGATTTTTTTTTTTAAATACTTTGCCCGACCCGGGAATCGAACCCGAGACCCGACAGTCGCACTGGCAACAATTCGGCCAACGAGGCAATAATTTCAGTACAATTATAATAAAAACCATGAAATATTGAATGTTTTTTGTACCTCCATTTGTTACGGCACTGGAATATGCACCTGACTGTGCTGAACCACCCCTGCCTCCTGTCATGTTTAAGAAATGGTTAATTTTTAAACACAAAACGAATAATACTAATAAACAGTAAAAAATACGTTATTCCGTGTTAAAAAATTGACTACGAAAATTACTATTCTGACCTCCATTGGTGGCAGCATTCGAGTATGCACCAGACTCTGCTCCGCCTCCTCTACCTCCTGTAATAATAATAATAATAATTTTGAAGTTCTGGTTATGAAATATTCATTAGAACCAATGTGCTTAAGATTACTCCACAAACAACTTTTTCTCACCTCCATTGGTTGCAGCATTAGAATAGGCCTCAGACTGAGCTGATCCACCTCTGCCTCCTGCAAAGTTACATTTACATTAAAGCTACATTTTTAATTCAATTTGATTTTGATCTTCATTTCTATTGTTTTATTCTTTCACTATTTTATTTACTTCATCATCAACAGCTTATAAATGTGCCACTGCTGAGCAAAGCCTCTTCTCGCACAGAGAAGGTTAGAGTATTAATCACCACGCTTGCCCAATGCGGGTTGGCGATTTCAAACTTACAATTAGAAATTATAAGCCCAGGTTTCCTCCCGATGTTTTCCTTCACCGTTTGCCAGTGGTGTCTAAATAATCTTAGAAAGTCCATATAACTCGGAAAAAGTCACATTGGTACTTGCCGTCGGTAGGTTTCGAACCCGCACCCTCGTGCATGAGAAGTAAGCGTCTTCAACCTCCGGGCCACCACGACATTCAATTTTATTTACTTGCGTCCATTAATACTTATGTCTTACCTCCATTGGTTACAGCACTAGAATATGCTCCTGATTGAGCTGAACCACCTCTACCTCCTGAAAGCATTATACTTGATCAATCAAATAACATTTGTTTCAATAGTCAGTAGCATTTTAATAATTACAATTAAATGTAGCAAATAGCATAAATATTTTACCTCCATTGGCTGCAGCATTGGAATATGCTCCGGATTGGGCTGAACCACCTCCTCTTCCTGTAAAATTTTAGGATGTTTACTCCGTTTCTATTTGAATTTCATTTCTGATTGTACGTATTTTTACTTTTAATAAGACACACTAACCTCCATTGGACATAGCACTAGAATATGCTCCTGATTGCGCTGAACCACCTCCTCTTCCTGCAAATTTATATATTTGTAATTTTGAACTTAATTCCTAATTATGTATTTTTTTACGTAACATACACTAATATTCTTTACCTCCATTTGACATAGCATTTGAGTATGCCCCAGACTGAGCTGAACCACCCCTACCTCCTGTAAAATTTAATTCTTTTATGCAATATCAGTGTGTATTTCATCGATTGTATTTGTGTAAAAGCATAATTTTTACCTTCATTAGTCATGGCATTTGAGTATGCTCCCGATTGTGCTGAACCACCTCCTCTACCTGTAAAGTTTTATTCATCATCATCATCATCAATAACAGCCGGAAGACGTCCACTGGTGGACAAAGGCCTTCCCCTTAGTCTTCCACGTTGAACGACAACTCGCCACCTGCATCCCCTGACTGTCGTCGGTCCACCTAGCGGGAGGCATACCCACGTTTCGTCTTGTGGTCCGTGGTCTCCACTCAAGGACTTTCCTGGACCATCTGCCGCCAGTCCTTCGAGCGACGTGGCCTGCCCATTGTCACTTTAGTCTGCAGATTTTGCGAGCCATATTGGTAACTCTAGTTATTTGGCAAATTTCCATATTTCGGATTTTGTCGCGCAAAGAAATCCCGAGCATAGCTCTCTCTATCGCACGCTGAGCGACTTTGAGCTAAAGTTTTATTACATTGCATTAATTCAGAGTTAATTTTAAATGATATCTGTACTTTAATAACATTAATTCTCTACCTGCTTTGGACATGGCATTTGAATATGCTCCTGATTGTGCTGAGCCACCTCCTCTACCTGTAAAGATTAAGATTAAAAAAAAAAATTACAATTTAAATTTATATTATGTTTGCAATGTAAAACAAACTGCCTCGTTGGCCGAGTGATCGCAAGTGCGACTGCCGGGCAAGGGGTCTCGGGTTCGATTCCCGGGTCGGGCAAGTGTTAGGTACTGGGTTTTTAAAAATTCTCAGTAGTAAGCACGGAGTTTGGAATAGTGCCCGGTATAAGGCAATAGGCTCACCCCCTATTACATGGGACTCATAACATAAATAGTGGTAAGTGGGTGTTACATTGTACAGTGCCATAATGTGCATATCTGCCTACCGCTTCGGGAATAAAAGGCGTGATGTTATGATGTTATGTTATGTAAAAACAAAATATTTACCTCCATCAGACATAGCGTTCGAGTATGCTCCTGATTGGGCAGAACCACCCCTGCCATCTGCAAAGTTTCAAAATATTTTTGATAATTTTGTTTTCATTTAATTTCTATTACTTGTATTTTTTTGGAAATATTAAATCTTTACCTCCATCCGACATAGCATTCGAGTATGCTTCTGATTGTGCTGAGCCACCTCTTCTTCCTTTAAAGTTAAAGAAATTTTGTATAAATTCAATTACTTTATTTTGAATTATACAATACCAATTATTGGTACCATAAAAAAACAAAATGTCTACCTCCTTTGGTCATAGCATTTGAGTATGCTCCAGACTGTGCTGAGCCACCTCCTCTTCCTGTAAATTTTCAAAATCTTGTATAAATTCAGTTCTAATTTAAATTATGCCACCGCTTTTCGAAAGTGGCCAAACGTTGGCCTACCAAATATTTAAATATATATAAATTTGGATTATGTATGTAATATAGACTGCACGGTTGGTGCGGTGGCTGGGCAACCGGCTGCCGTGCGTTGCACGTTCGTCGCGGGTTCGGTTCCTGCACGAAACAACACTTTGTGTGATGAACAAATTGTTGTTTCGGGTCTGGGTGTCATTGTGTATATGAACTTGTATGTTTGTAAACGCACCCACGACACAGGAGAAAATCCTAATGTGGGGCAACGTTTTATTTTAAAAAAAAGATCTTAATCTTTACCTCCATTTGACATAGCATTAGAATATGCTCCTGATTGTGCTGATCCTCCTCCTCTTCCTGAAAAGTTTGAGAAATTTTGTATAAAGTCAGTTATTATACATATTTTGAATTAGGTCACATAAATAAAAAAAATGCGCTTGCGCTGAACCACCTCCTCTTCTTGTAAATTTATAGTTTCGTCATTTTGGACTTAATTCCTAATTATATATTTTTATGTAACATAAACCTAATGTATGTGTGTATGTGTGGTAATGTTCTTTACCTCCATTTGTCATAGCATTTGAGTATGCCCCAGACTGTGCTGATCCACCCCCTCTTCCTGTAAAGTATACTTTATTATATAAAGCGGAAGAGTTTGTTTTTTTGTCTGTTTGTTTGAACGCGCTAATCTCCGTAACTACAAGTCTTATTTGAATAATTCTTATTGTATTGGATAGCGCATTTATCGAGGATGGCTATAGGCTATAAAACATCACGATACGACCTGAGTATAGTGTGTGAAACCGCGCGGAAGTAGCTAGTCTTGTATAAACTCAGTTCTAATTTAAATTTTACCACCGCTTTTCGATTACCACCAGGCGAGATAGAGGGCAAAGGTCGGACCGCAAATATAAAAAAATAGCATTTGTTTGTAACGTAAAAGACATAAACTTTACCTCCATTTGACATAGCATTAGAGTATGCGCCTGATTGTGCTGAACCACCTCGGCCTTCTGCAAAGTTTTTTTTATTAGATAATATAGTTCAAAATTTTCATTTCTGGGTTTGTTTTTATTTTAGAACCATGAACTATGTTTTTATAATAACTATCGTGAGACATACTAAATTAAGTAAAATCGCGTGCGCGGTCGCGGCGACGTCGCGCAATTTACTGCGCTGAGTCGTCGGAACGTCACAGCGGAAGGAGAACCCCTCCATGGTTCGTAACTAGTAGAGCTTTTCTCAGTATATTCACGTGAGTAACCCGCGATTTTACTTAACCATGAACTATTTACCTCCATCCGACATAGCATTCGAGTATGCTTCCGATTGTGCTGAACCACCTCCTCTTCCTGTAGAGTTTCAGAAATATTGTATAATTTCAGTTTAAGCCAGATCATTCAGGCTGTATCTTATTTTTAGATTATATTTCTAATGTAATAGAAATGTTTACCTCCTTTAGTCATAGCATTAGAATATGCCCCAGTTTGTGATGAACCACCTCTGCCTGAAAATCATGCATTTGTCAGCATAAAACCTAAGTATTTATATATATTATAAGTATATTATACAAACAATAATTATTACTAAAAAATAATCATATAAATGGTAAAATAATATATGGATTTTATGTGTTTAAAATATGTACTTATTTATGTAATACCTTCGTTGGTTGCACTTGAATATGCACCAGACTGTGCTGATCCACCCCTGCCTCCTGAAAATTTTGGTTCATTTTAGATTTGAGTCTTTTTAACAAATAAAAATATTTATTGCTAATGTAATAAAAATAAGATTCATGGCCCTATAATTGAAATACCATTGAATAGGTTAGATGCCTAATTTTTATTTTAATGTCCGTCTGGTAGATTAATTTAAATCATTCGACACGTATTTTTAAATTTTCTTACAGAAACGAATACTTTCGACGATATATTGATTTAAAATGTCGCGTGACGTCACTTCTATGTACATTTTATACGAAGAAATAACGTTTTAGCCCCCAGTCCTAAACTTTGATTCGTTTTTATCTAAGTATTGTTTTATTATACGACAAAATAAAAAAATACGTGTCTAACATTTTTTCATTACCTGACTTACGACTCAATTAATTTTTATACCCTGTTATCATCCCAATCATAAGTCGCGCTTAAGTATAGTGCTGTCACTATTAATTCTTTGTAAAATGACAGAGATGGCACGATATTTAAATACTAAAAATTAAGTATACTTTCAGTATTCGGGTATAAGAGTGTTTGTTTAATATGTAACCAGCCCTTGGATTTTTCCATTGCAATGTTACAAAAAATAAACAAATTAAAATACGAAAATGACTGCCTCATTGGCCGAGTGTTCGCAAGTGCGACTGCCGTACAAGAGGTCTCGGGTTCGATTCCCGGGTCGGGCAAAGCATTACTGGGCTTATTCAAAAAATCTTATTTGTAGCACGGAGTCTGGAATTGTGCCATGTAAATGGTAATAGGCTTTTGTGCCCGGTCAATAGGCTCGCCCCCTATTACATGGGACTCATAACATAAATAGTGAAAAGTAGGTGTTACATTGTACAGTGGCATTAAGTGCCGTAATGTACACCTCTGCCTACCCCTTCGGGGATAAAAGGCGTTGATGTTATGTTATGTAAAATACGAAAACAAGGTACAGACAGGATTTTTATTCATTACTCTGTATGAAGATAATCTTACCTCTATTAGTTACAGCATTCGAATATGCACCGGATTCCACTGTATTACCTCTATTTCCTGTAAAATGGACATAAATTAGTATCCACAATTTACTTTTATTTCTAGCCATTTTTAGTTTATTAATCGACTGTAGTTTATGAGATGGCATTACACCACATTAGGGTAAAGCTTTGTTTATTTCATTGTCATTCGTTTTATTTTTAAGTGACAATGTTTGATTTGCTTCTGGTTCATACATACATAAACAATTTCTTATTTATTTTTTGACTTCCTCGTTGGCCGAGTGGTCGTAAATGCAACTGCCGGGCAAGGGGTCTCGGGTTCGATTTCCGGGTCGGACAAAGTATTACAGTATTTTTTTTATAAAAATCTCAGTAGTAGCACGGAGTCTGGATTGGTGCCCGGTCAATAGGCTCGCCCCCTATTACATGGGACTCATAACATAAATGGTGAGGGGTGGGTGTTACATTGTACAGTAGCATAATATACACCTCTGCGTACCCTTCGGGGATAAAATGCGTGATGTTATGTTTTTTTGTTTTAGATAGATTTTATATTGAATTGATTAAGTTTAAATTAGCCTGCACCTATAAGAGTGATAAAATATATTACCTCCACTGCTTTCTGCATTCGAATATGAACCTGCTTGAGATGAACCTTCGCCTCCTGCAAAATGTTTTGTTTTTCAGAAAATCCGACAATTTTCAATACATGCAGTTTTGTTTTCGCCTTTGAGATATATAATCTTCTTTACTTACACATCAATACCCTATAAGTGGCCACTGCTAGCCAAAGGCTTCTGCTCATAGTCAGAAGGTTTGAGCATTAATCACCACGTTTGCTTAATGCGGGTTGGCGATGTCACGCTTAAAATTAGATATTATTAGTCCAGGATTCCTCACGATGTTTTCCTTCGCCGTTTGTAAGTGGTATTTAATAATCTTTATAATCATAGAGGTATATAAAGAGTAGACGATATCTAAATATGTCGTATTATCAATACATAGTATAAAACAAAGTCGCTTTCGCTATATGTCCGTATGTATGCTTAGATCTTTAAAACTACGCAACGGATTTTGATGCGGTTTTTTTTAATAGATAGAGTGATTCTTAAGGAAGGTTTGTATGTATAATACATGCATATTGCACCCGTGCGAAGCCGGGGCGGGTCGCTAGTATATTATAATGCTGTCATGTTGTGTAAGTGAATTTCTGTTGATTAAACTGTCAAACACCAAGCGGTCACCGGTGACCGCAACCTATTGTTCTATAATTGTGTCTATATTGACGGTACTCGACGAGTTAATAAGTTCCCTAAACTAATCTTAGCTTTTTTTTTTTGATAACGGGGCGCCTAACTTTGTTTGGGATAGAAAACTAGGGAGTGTGGGATTCTTACCTCACTATAACCACCCCGGTGGCCACCATCATCACCTAAGGGGGCACCGAGTCCTCTATAATAGACTAAAAAACAAATCTTACCTAGACTCGTCATAACTTCTGCGATAGCATTTGAGGCTCCATTGCCGCCATAGCTATCTGAAATAAAATAGTATTTAATTAAACACTAATCAACTGCTTAGCAAATATATTTATTAATTTTTCTGAAGTTTTTTGTATTTTGTGATTTAATTTATTTATAGGTACGTATTATTTGATCATCTCCTCTGTTGCCTTGTTGGCCGAGTGCTCGCAAGTGCGACTGCCGGGCAAGGGGTCTTGGGCTCGATTCCCGGGTCGGGCAAAGTATTACTGGGTTTTTTATAAATTCTCAGTAGTAGCACGGAGTCTTGAATTGTGCCCGGTATATGGCAATAGGCTCACCCCCTATTACATGCGACTCGTAACATAAATAGTGAAAAGTGGGTCTTACATTGAACAGTGGCATAATGTATACCTCTGCCTACCCCTTCGGGGATTAAAAGGCGTGATGTTATGTTATGTTATTTAATCATCAATGTGCAATTAACAGAAATAAAAATATCTTACTACTGTTAGCACTTGAATAGGCTTCAGCGCCATTGTTTCCACCTCCTGAAAATAATAAAGAAAAAATATGAACTACTATTATATACGTATTCCATGTATTAATAGGTGCACATTGCACAAAAATAAATTAACGAAATGGTCAGCATATATTAAAATGCTGCATCAATGTGGATATTATTATTAATTTTCATTTTTATTATTTATTCAAATGCGAATTAATCTCTCCGTTCACAAATACACGTTATAAATAAGAAAAATAGTTGTAATTTTCTGAGAACAAATGATAATAAAAAAAAAATCTTTCTTATTGAACTTACGTCTAGGGTCCAATAACGAATGTGCAAATCCACTTGATTCCGATCTGCTTTTACCTGTAAAGTATGATAATGTTAGAAGTTTTACATCTTTTAGAAATATAATAAGAATTACTACTGCAGCACCACACATTTAGGGATTGAGGACTAGGGCATGGGAGGAGGTTTAGGCTTCGGTAACCTTTTTCAATTATTGTCAGAGAATATACAACGCAAACAATCAACCGTTTCTTCTTTGGTGATAAAAATATTATAGAAGGTACATTTGCTTACCTCCACGGGTTAAAGAACTTGAACGTGAACCTGATGTGGATAATCCTCCACCTCCTGTAAAAAATATATCATTATTGCATCACTAAACGTTTACGTACGTCGACTAAATTTTTTAAAGAAAATCTATACCACCAAGTTCTCATCTGCCATTTAAAATGCCAAAAGATAAAGTTCCAAACTAATTTCTTAATCACATGTACCAAAAACCTTACTTACTTCCATGTGTTAATATGTTCGAAAATGCACCCGATTCTGCAAGACCACCACCACCTCCACGACCTGTACAGTTTAAAAATATTATTTAACTAAGCAATAAAAAGTAGGATCGGAATACAATGTCATAGAACAAATTCAAAATCGACTTTATTCATTGGTATTGTTCTTTCTTCACTGAAGGTTTGAAACGGTGACATATCGGTAACCATTATATTTATACCATGATTTGTAACAATAACTAAAACTGTAGATACAATAATTAAACTAAATATTTGTTAATATTTTTAATTACATCCTAATTGTTGATAAAAAAAACAGATCTGTAATAGTTGACGGCTTTTTTTTGAGGGGTAAATATCATCCAATTACTTCTCTCGCCCAAGTGAGGTGAAAGGAAGTGTCAGACTCTTACTGACTAAAAACCACTCTGTTCCTACTCCTGCACTTCGAGCCGGAGCCCCGGTAACCCGTTAAGTTCTCCGCGGCTCCGAATCGGCATCGGCATCAGTGCTATTGGGCCCCATCTGTGGTGGTCTGATGGCTCTTTGAGGCGATCTCATCTCTACAGGCGACGCTCTGTACGCTCGGGTCTGGTTCTGTTCGTGCGGCGAGCCAACCGTGCTCGCGGTCCACAGGCGGCTGATCTATCTTCGTGTCTATATACCTACTTATATACCAAACTCGTTTGTAACATTAGCATTTTATGGTACTATCGGCCTGGTCAACAATGTCTGGATAGCATCTATGTATTAATTAGATAAAGAATTAAGGATGTAATTTGTACGTGCTAAGAGCATGAGATTATTTTACAAATTATTATGAACCTCAATGAAAAAAATAACGTCCAGTTACTCACCTCCATGTGTTAAAGCTGTTGAATATGCATTTGACTCAGCTAAACCACGAAGTCCCACTGTAAAATAAGTCAATTTATAATCTTACACCTTTTTCAGTAAGTATACAATATTTTTTTCAGGTCGGTTCCGCAGTTCATAGTTTATTTGCAAAACTATGCGGCTTACTTCGTTATCGCCCAGTACTACAATCTACGTGGTCAATTGAAACTGAACTGGTCAAAAATAAATAGTTATTTAAATTGGGCCAGCCATTCTGAAGATGTGCTCGTATAAACATTTTGGTTATTCATTTTTATTGACATACATAATTGTATTGAATTAAAGATATTAATGTTAGGATTACCTGTTGTGGACAGAGCAGCGGAACCAGTGGCATCATCACCTAAGGGAATATAATAATTTATTTAGAAAGTGTCATACATACGTTACGATTTAATTGTATAGTTAAAACGTCAGGTGTGCAGAGCAAACGTATAGTTTACTTAAAGGTGTGTAGGCAGTATAGACCTACGATTTAAAGACTATACAGTTAAAACTGAGCAATGTGTGTAGTCTGCATATTGAGCGTACTTTTGTCAATCACATTAGGCATATCAATAACAACAATAACAATAAATAAAAAAAAATGAAAATGAAAATGGAATCTCCCAATTTTCGAAACTTTTAAGACCAAAGAAACAGTTACTCAAAAATGTCCTCTCGCGCGTTTCTTGCACACACGGGTGTACGAGAGTGACTTGCACCGATTGGAAACTTTTTCTGTGATGTATATTTTCAAGTTGCAACCCGTTCTTTATTTGATTGAACAGAATCGTTCATTCGCTTTCTATTAAACCCGTGTACGAGACGCGCGAGAGCATATAAGGCAATGAATAGACATAAGTACGTAATTGTCATTATTGTTACTTTTTTATTGAATAGCAGGCAAACGAGCAGACGGTTCACCTGATGGTAAGCAATCAGCGCCGCCCATGGTCACCCGCAACACCAGAGGAGTCACAGGTGCGTTGCCCGCCTTTAAAAAGGAATACGCTCTTTTCTTGAAGGTTTGAAGGTCGTATCGGTTTGGAAATACCACCGACGACAGATCATTCCACAGTGTTGCTGTGTAATTGATGATTTTATGAATACTTAACAGTGTGCAAAGCTTACCTGTAGGGCTTCCCAATAAGCCAGAAGGCAGAAGGAGCAATACAACTAAAGTCCAGTGATTCGTACCCATTTCTCTACCGAAATGACTGAACTGGTTCCAGCTTATACTAACCACTTACTTTATAAGTAAAAATAAATCAATAAATATGCTATTAAAATAAAATCGTGATTTTCTTATTCATTAAAAATGGCATGTGTTTGTTTATTTAAGTTTTATCAATATACTCAAATATTGCATTAGTTTTTGTTTAATTATTTCTGCGTGTCATGACGTTTTAAAATTTCTCCCCATAAAAATACTTCTTAGACCATAACCACATGTTAAAAAATAGACCTATCCAGCTGCTGTCGATAATAGGATATATTACAATCTAAATGAACTAAAAATTACGAATTACTCACGTAAATGTTATACTGAAAAAAGCTCTACTAGTTTCGAGTCACAGAGGGGCTCTTTCTCATGAGCAGCGTGCGTGGTCGCGGCTAGGTAGGCTCCGCGACATCGCCGTGACCGCGCACGCTGTTTGCAAATTTTTAGTTAAGTCAGCATCTCTCACGATGGTTAATATGAAAACATATTACAATGTAATTGGGTAGTTTCCAGAGTATCAAAATAAAAAATCTAATTAGTCCGTCAGTTAGAAAAAGAAAAAATAATAGACACGTATTTTTTATTTTCTCGTAATAAGTTGCAATACATAGATAAAATGGCGCTAAGTTTAGGAGTGGGAGGTCGTTACGTCAGACCGTGCTACAAAATGTGGCACGCTGTGACGTCACGATATTTCAAATTAATATATCGTCGAAAATATTTCATTTTGTGAGAAAAGAAAAAATACGTGTTTAACGTTTTAAATTAATGTACCAGAAGGACATTAAAATTAAATTTAGGAAACTACCCTTATTTTACTGTACCTGCATCATATTCTGTCCTACTCATTCATATTATTCCTACCAGTATTTAAAATGCAAACATTTCTGAAGATGAGAGGGTATGAGTGTGTAGTATATCTATTTTATAATCTTTCACTCAAAAGCTATTATACATATCTGAATGAAAGTCACAGATTATAATATTATTAGCCTGGAATAGTATCTAATTAAAAAAAAACATAACATCACGCCTTTTATCCCCGAAGGGGTAGGCAGAGGTGCACATTATGCCACTGTACAATGTAACACCAACTTTTCACTATTTATGTTATGAGTCCCATGTAATAAGGGGTGAGCCTATTGCCATATACCGGGCACAATCCAGACTCCGTGCTACTACTGAGAATTTTTTAAACTCAGTATTACTTTGGCCGACCCGGGAATCGAACCCGAGACCCCTTGCCCGGCAGTCGCACTAGCGACCATTCGGCCAACGAGGCGTAAAAAAAACTAGCTTATATAATGAAAATATTCGAACTTAAGATGCTTTATCGATTTAAAAACAAGGTGGGTGGATAGGTGTCAACATTTTTTGTAGTTGGTATGGAATTTTAAACGTTACCCCCGCACTAGAATTTTCTTCTATGTCGTGGGTGCGTTTACAAACATACAAGTTCACATACACATGCCACCCAGACCCGGAACAACAATCTATGGATCACACAAAGCGTTGTTCCGGGCGGGAATCGAACCCGTGACACGTTGCGTGGCAGTCAGTTGCCCAACCACAGCGCCAAACGTGCAGTCAAATGTATTTAAACTGAGTGAAACACATTCATTTACGATTATAAACTCATCATACGAAGCTGGGGTATTTTGTTAGTGTAGAATTGACATGTGCATCGTTATACAATTAGGTGTTTCATGTAAACAAGTTTTTATAGTGATCGTGATACATATTATTTGATAAGAATTTTCACTGAACTGTTATAATTGAGTGTAGTTCACTTAATATAAATATTTTGCTGTTATATTTCATTGGTTCAGCAACTACAAGTACGTTACATGTGTACATACAATTATTATAGTATCGCCTTTTATCCCCGTAGGAGTTGGCAGTGGTGTACATTATGCCACTGTACAATGTAACACCCACTTTTCACTATTTATGTTATGAGTCCCATGTAATAGGGGGTGAGCCTATTACCATATGACGGGCACGATTCCAGACTCCGTGCAACTACTGTGAATTTTTTTAAAACCTAGTAAAACTTTGCCCGAACCGAGATTCGAACCCGAGACCCCTTGCCCGGCAATCGCAATTGCGACCACTCGGCTAATCTAATCTAAACTAAATCTAATTTATTAAATAAAAATAAATCGTCGTTAATAACTGTCGTCTCTGCATAGGTATGAGGGTTTGCCAAAATCTCCACCCTTTATTGGCAAATTGGAAATCGCAGCTTAAAAGGTCCAGGTCTATCAAATAGTGCTGGTGCCCAGTCTTTGTTAAATGTCTTAGTCTTAGTTTTGAGTCATACTACAATATTCTGAGTCTTCTATAGATTTACTATATATTACACCAATTAGAATTCCCTAATTCCCTCTGTCTATTGCATATTATTAGGTGCTGTAATAATATCAGAAAAACTTAACTTTAGTACTCAAATGCTTTCTAAATAGACTAGCTTTTACCCGCGGCTTCGCTCGCGTCAAAAGGATAGAAAGTAGCCTATGTGACATATACCAATACACACAGTGCCATCTATACCAATAATTTCGTTTTCCCTCTAGAATATATTTCCGGGATAAAAAGTACCCTTTTATTTAATCCAGACTTCTAACTGCAAAAATTCAAAGCAATCGGTTTAATAGTTACGGCGTGAAAGCGGAACAAACTAACAAACAAACTCACTTTCAGATTTATAATATTAGTAAGGATAGTAAGGATGATATTATTATAATACTGCATTAGAATTATCACCAAACCTACTATTGACATCATGTGCAACCTATGTATTCTATTTACTTTTCCATTTTCCAAAACACACTTTATCAAAACAGAAATAAAGTCGAATATTTCTTTCTGTACAGAGTGAAAATGATATTATGCAGTCAGAGTACAGTCTCGATACGCCTATTTTTCACGTAGTCTCTCGATATGAATGTAGACATCTTGTCTTTATGGGGTCGATTTCAATATACGAAGCCGTTTCCCGCTCAGCGAAGTCTCGCCTCTCTCACTCTTGTTATTTTGTGAGAATCACTTTACAAATATTCATAACAGGGTCTCATATTGAATCTCTCTATGTGTATAGTTCTTGTAATGTAGGTGTTTATGGTATAGTTACAACTATAGTTTATGCATGTTTTTGACTAAATTCGGTTAGTTAAGGAGTTATTCTTGATACCTCGGCAAACATTGTGATCCTCAGTTCGTACAAACTTTTATTTAAGATTTTTGATTTTGAAATACTTTAACACTTTGAACGCCATGAGGGACAAGGTATGGGCCATGATAGCGGAGGATTTACCCTCAACAGTTTTCTGTCGGCAGTCAAAGGTTTAATAGATCTATTATACTCATGAGCAGCATGCTAGATGCTCACAGCGCAGCATGAAAATAACACTTGGCTCATTTTTATATAGAAAATAATTGAGTAAGGTATTTTGAAACTAAGAAAACTACATCGTTGAGTTATACTTAAAGATTTATTGAATCTGCATAAGTAGCAAGTGCACAACTTAAGAAAAGTATTTTACTATCATTTTTATAAGCATATATTAGGTACTTTCATTTATTTTGTAATCATCTCAACTTATTCCGAATATGCAGTGCGCAGTAAATTGAAAAATTGGTAGGACAGGCTGCAGATCTGGGGAAAATAAAGTAAAATAATAGACAGCTGCGCGGTTGTAAATAAGTAAATTGTTTATGATTATAATATAACTAACCCCACTAAAAGTATCCAAATTCATAGTCAAGTACCCGTTGGCGCTGAATTCGAAAGGTTTTTGAGAACGTATCAAGAAAATTAACAACATTTTCTTCGTTGAATTATTAGCATATACCCAGTCAGCAAAATATATTGCTTTCTCCAGTTTATTACTCTGAAAGATACAAAATATACTTAAAGAGACTGATAACAGTATTTCAAAAGATTAATAAAATTAGGGATGTAAAAGAAAAAATGAAATCCAATATTTAATGATTAACTAAAGGATACGATTTAACGCAGGTTAATGATAAACTAAGGACTATTAGCTGAGAAGAATACAAGTGTTAAGATATATAAGTAAGAAACCATACATGATCAATAAGAAGTTGCCCCATTATGCATTGAAAGAATACTTCCACAAGCAGAGAACAGAAGAAAGAGAAATATCGCATAGATTTGTACAGATCATCTACAACCTGGAAAAGAAATTATCAGAAGATATAACAAATACTAAAGTATTTCAGATAAAATGTTAGACAAAGTAAAAGTTGTTACTGTAGCTGTGAATGCTGTTAAACAGATGAATACAGATCCAAACATGTATGTTAAAAACATTCCATCACCCAGTACTTGATCTAAATCAGACGTTATTCTGTAAAGCGAACATTATAATCAATTGAACACTCTCTTACAGTAGTTGAAAACTCATCCATATGAAGACAGTTCTAAAACTAAGAATGTAAGATTACCTGGCCAAAAACTGATGCTTACTAATGATAAACTTTAATTTGTTGCTAATTTTCTTATGGACATTTGCTATCTCTCTCCCTTTCTTAATCTTTACGACGTCATCTTCATTAATAAGGTCCTCCATAGTACTGCCAAGGATTTTCAACTCAAAACAAATGTAGCGAGTGAAAGAAATATGGAGCATATTGACAAAAACGTAAATGAAGATAACGACTGTGGTCATAAAACTTTCCCATATGTACGCAGTATTGTACCATTCAATTTTGTCGAAAGGATACCAGCCATCGAATGGATACAAATACTGTTTTTCTTTATCGAGAATGTCGTTCTGGTAAATCATAATGATTCTTGGAAATAAATCAACTATGACTGCAAGGCCAATAGTATAATAGAATTCAAATCTCAAAATCAACCTTGTTGTCTGCGTGTACCGATTCAGGATCTTCTTGTGTTCTTCGGTGTCAAAAACTGTATCCCATAAGTCAAATCGAAAATGTTTGAAGATTTCATTGTATAGCTCTTTGTTGTCATTGATTTTCTTGTACTTAATCAAGATCATAAAGCAAACTCCAATGTTAGGGGCGACGTTGATGATCTCGAACCAATCAAAGCTTTCTACACAAATGATACAGAGAGTGACGATTAATTGAGCTGATGTTAAGAACAAGAGGCCATAAGTGATATAGAAACAGTAAGTGATGATTTTAGATCGACCGATGAAAGGATAAATAAACATTTTGGTACCAATGTTACTGATGAAGTCCATTTCACCCAAGAAGTCTTGTTTTATTTCATCATAGGATTTGTGTTCGTACTCCATAGTGAAAGAAACGACTTTTCTAACTAAATGCGAATTAAAACTGAACAGCTTATTACTAGTAATGGCTAGGATTCTAGTCTTACATAGTTGCTGATACATTTATGACTTACGATTACGATTCGACCACGACAATGTCGCAAAGGTGCGATTTAATTCTTAGTTTAAAATTGTTACGACAAAAATCTTTTGGTGTAAATCGCCCCATGTCAATCACGTTTGCATAATAATCACTAGTTCTGTACTCGGATCAAAAGGGATCATATTTAAGTGACCAATATGCTCTGTAATAATGAAAAGTAGCGTTTTGATCAAATAACAAAGTGCTTTGTTGAATTGTCTTTTCCTATTAAGTATAAGGAGCAAGTAATCATTGGCTTACGATTCAGAAGTTCGATTACAAGTTAACCATTTTCTGTTGGATTTAATTTTCCTCATTCTAAAGTTAAAAGTGGGTGGTGGTACTATCTACACATTATTACGAAAAAAAAACAGATATTGCCAAAAAGTATTTATTTAAACCAAATAAAATTTTTCGAATAAAAACAATTGAACATTTCTTGCCTAATAAGTTTTGTGCGACATACATAATTATCAAAACAGTTAACCAACTCGAACACCATTGCCTGCAACAAATAATTTCAGAGGTTAACATAAAATCGACATTTTTTTTTAATAAGTATTGCTGTTCATTTGGAGGTGAAAATTTAATGGAATATCTGTAGTAGTTGAGAGGTTATTTTTTTTGTTTATTAAAACCTACTTGGTACTCATTAAGTATCAGAGTTTTTAATTTTAAACAGGTTCTGACTGTGCCGGCTCGACACCTGTTTCAATTAAATAACCTGCACCGGTCAGTACAGATTTGTCTGTACGGTAAACCTGTTTCTTTATGTAACCACACTTACGATAGGATATTATATTTACCATTTTTAGAATCGGGAACATTGTGTTTGCTAGGTTATCATTAGCCTGTAACATAAGGTCGTGGTATTAAAAAAATGCGTTGGTATACCTAATATTTTCCATTTAATGGTGTTAAGTAATTTTATTAATCTGTCATATATATCTGGCGGCACCTTGATTTTATCATGATTTAGCCCCATTAGGCTAAAGTTTTTGTAAACTGAAAACTACATGCTTGGCTTGTCTAAAATTGATTAAATTAGTGAGATCAAAAATAACTCATATTTATAAATTGTTAAAATCTTTCAAATATCTATTTATCGTAGGGAAAAACTCAGGTCTTCTTTCTATTCTTACCTTTTTGATATTGCGTAACGTATACAGATTGTTCTTGCTCTCCTTGGTCGCCAGTATTGTCTCCACCGCCTACAACAGAGAACATTTCTCATTTACATTACATGTATTATAAATTTTATAATATAATGTCATCTATGAAGATTTAATAATGTGGGCGAGCCATGCTTCGGCCCGAATGGGCCAGCTCGACCGGAGTGATATCACGGCCTCACAGAAAACCGACGTGAAGCAACGCTTGCGTTGTATTTCGTCGTGAGTGAGAATTCCGGAGCGGAGGTCCAATTACCCCCCCCCCCCCTTTCTCAATCTCTACAAAAGACCAGTAACGCACTTGTAACGCATCTGGTGTTCTAAATGTCCATCGGCGACACCGGTTGCTAACCATCAGGTGATCTACCAGCTCGTTCACCGGCTTATTCCATAAAAACAATTAGGTAACCGAAATTCAAATACAACCGAAATACCGAAGGCCATCTGCAGCAGTACGTAGTACTTCAAAACCATGAGCTATTCCAAACGGTTTCTTCTAGTAATAAGACACCTCTCTAACTAGCGATAGACTATAATTAATCTACTTTTTCTTTGATAATATTCTAAAATGAAAAATAAGACCTACTATTTTAAATTTTAGACATAAAAATAGTGGGTCTTATTTTTCTTAATATCTATCTATGAAAACATTACCTGGCTTTCCAGATGACGGTTTAGGCTTCTTGTGACCATGATGGTGTTTAGGGTGTTTACCTAAAGAAGCACGATTATCAGAAATTTGCCTCAAATCTATGATTTTATCTATATAACCAATTACAGAGGTAATTTGACTAAAGAGACGAACTAAGGGTTCGATACATGTCTGAAGATATAAGAATATTATAATAGTAATCATTGGATTTTTTTCTTCTCAGCATTATAAAATATAAATGTATTAGAATTTTAAAGCTTAGGAGAATACTTCTTAGGCATGTTGTATGGAATAGTTTAGTAATAATAATATTAATAGATTTTACCGCCTGGCTTGCCTCCGGGACTGCCACCACCTGAGAAATATGTAAATTGACTCATAAAATGATATACTAAGATTGGCTCAGTTTGATGAATGTGACAATAGAGAAGTACTAAAATAAACCCACTTTTATTTAAGGTGTCATTCCCAATATTTACTTACGAAAAATTATAGGATACGGAAAAAAATTGAGGATAGTCATTACCTGGTTGGCCGCCGGGGTTACCACCACCTGTAAAGAAGACATTGACCTGAGAACTTGACTCATTGACATAAGTTTAGGAGTACCTTATTGGAAGTTTCTTAAAAACACTCATAGGTTAAGATACAAAAAAATTGCGAGGAAAACCATCGGATCAGATGATGATTCTTCATATACCTGGTTGGCCACCGGGATTGCCACCGCCTGAAAAAAAAACATAGACCTGAGAACTTGACTCACTGATATAAGCCTACCAAACACAAAAACTGGTTTAAGTTAAAAAAAAAAATTGTATTGATGGTGATCGCACAGATTATGATTTCTCATGTACCTGGTTGGCCGCCGGGATTGCCACCGCCTGTAAAGAAAACATAGACCTGAGAACTTGACTCATTGGTATAACCCTACCAAACACAAAAAATGGATTAAGTTAATAAAGGAAGAAATTGTATGAATGGTGATCACACAGATGATGATTCCTCATGTACCTGGTTGGCCGCTGGGATTACTACCGCCTAGAAAAAAAACGTAACGTCAATGTAAGACATTGATGTAAGCTTAAAAAAATTTAGGCATTGGAATTGTGTGGATGATTAACGATCAGATGATGACGATTATGTACCTGGTTGTCCGCCGGGATTGCCCCCAGGATTGCCACCGGGATTGCCACCACCTGAAAACAAAGCACGTATTGAAGTCATCATCTACAGCCAATAAGTAGTCACTGCTGACCAAAGGCCTTTTCTCATTCGGAGAAAGTTTGAGCATTAATAACCAGGCTCGCTCAATGCGCGTTGATGATTTAAAATTTAAAAAATAATTAGAAATTATAAGCTAAAGTTTCCTCACGATGCTTTCCTTCACCGTTTATCAGTGGTGTCGAAATAATCTTAGAAAGTACATATAACTCGGAAAAGACCACATTGGGACTCGCTGTTACTAGTGATATAACAAGTTTCATTGTTTTATTAGGTGAATATGATAAGTGACATCAAGTAGTAAAAATGAAATTACCTGGTTGTCCGCCGGGATTACCACCGCCTGTAAAATAAGGTAATTGGACTCATAAAATAATTTTGTGTCACAAAATTCATGTGCCCAGGTGAAACGATATTTAGACCAAATAATGTTGTTGTTAATGTCATCTTTACTGCAAGCAGTCAATGTAAATTGAGAAATAAAGCTATTAATAAAGAAAGACAATAAGCTTTCAGATAACATCTGCAGTTGTAACAGTCACAAGACAATATGAATGTGTCAGTATGGTTATCGATAGATTCAATATATATAGGAATTGTCGATAGCAACCAATCAATGTAGTCTATATACCTTTTGCTTTAACTGTACAGTCGAACTGTACAGGTAAATCAAAGGTCCATAAAACCTATACCTTTTCAAGTAAAACTGTATAGTTTAACTGTATGTCTGACTGTATAATTAAAACAGAAGGTGTTTAGGCTTGATTGTAAAATTGTGATAATGGTCATCAAATACGTAATGATGATGATGCCCTATATACCTGGTTGACCACCGGGATTGCCACCGCCTGAACAAAAAAAAAATATTATCAGAAAGTTTCCAAAATATGGTTCTTTCATAAAATAAATTATCATAAATAATGATGAAGGTGTACTAAACCAATTTTAGACAGTTCATGTTAAAATAGTCAATTAGTCTACTTCAACACATGCAGTTAGCCAATGTCATTTCGGATTGACATTACGAAATAGGCTTACGAAAAATTATGGGAAAAGTTTTTTTAAGAATACAACTAGATGTTGGCTTATAGGTTAGGATAAGGTAATTGTGAGGTTAAGTACCTGGTTGACCACCGGGGTTGCCGCCACCTGAGAAAATAACACATTAATCAGAATAACTTAAGAATGTGACTCTAGAATAATACGAGTGGCGATTAAATTATACTAAGGAGAAATGTCTTAATAAAAATTGGTAACCAATTTTAGAGACATAAAATGAACAAAATAAAAAGAAAATGCAAATTTAAAATATTTTCTTAATTAACAATAAAATCCGTAATGATGACGCATCATCTACCTGGTTGACCACCGGGACTGCCACCGCCTGATAAAGAAAACATGATTTTCAGAAATATTTCGAACCATGGTTTATAAACACATAAGTGACAACGAATGTGTACTAAACCAATTTTAGATAGTTCACGTTAAAATAATCAACTTCACCACAAGTAGTCAGCCAATGTCATTTTGATTTTGACATTCGCTTACGAAAAATTATGGGCAACGTTTTTTAAGAATACATTAGTATTGGCTTATAGGTTAAAATAGAAAGTAATTATGAAGTTATGTACCTGGTTGACCACCGGGGTTGCCACCACCTGAAGAAAAAAAAATACAATAATAAGAAAAACTTAAGTATCTACTTGGCTCTAGAATAATTATGAGTGGCGATTGAAGTGTAATAAAGAGACATTTCTTAATTAAAATTTAAAACCAGTTTTAGGCGCGTATATCTTATTATTAACTTCACTATAAGGGAGCGTTCTAAAATAAAAAAAAAATGTATAAAAATAAAATAAATCAATAATAATGACGCCTCATCTACCTGGTTGACCACCGGGACTGCCACCGCCTGAAAAAAAAAATTAGTGTCAAAAAGAAAGTGAAAATAATCATGAAACTTGATGAAGAGAATAAGTGTGGGAGAGCCATGCTTCGGCACGAATGGGCCGGCTCGACCGGAGTGATACCACGGCCTCACAGAAAACCGACGTGAAGCAACGCTTGCATTGTGTTTCGTCGTGTGAGTGAGGTTACCGGAGGCCCAATCACCTTCCCCTTCCCCAATTTCTCCAATCCCTGAATCCCCAACGATCCTCAAACTCCTAATCCCCAAAAAGCCGGTGACGCACTTGTAACGCCTCTGGTGTTCTAGATGTCCATGGGCGACGCCGATTGCTTACCATCAGGTGATCCGTCTGCTCGTTTACCGGCTTATGGCATAAAAAAAAAAAAAAAAAAGAGAACCAATTTTAGATAGAAAAAAAAATATCTGCATGATGAAGATGACACCAGCCATATTATGATCATGCTCCGCTCCATTATTTACCTGGTTGACTACCACCACCTAAAAAAAACACGATAGTTAGATAACAAATAATGAAAACAACAAACATTTTTTCATGAAACACAATATAATTTAAACGCTTTCATTATTTTACATTCGATATCCATAACTGTAATTTTTTTTTGTATTCTCTTAAAAATTGAGTACCTATTGAAAGAAAGCTTTACCTGGTTGGTCACATGGTTGTGAATCGCCACCATCTGAACCGCCTGTATAACATCTTTTGATAAGTCTCAAGTGCCACACACAACTGGGATAATATTTAGTTTTTATTCCGCTAAAGGAATGAATTATCCATTATTGTATACTAGCGACCCGCCCCGGCTTCGAACGGGTGCAAAATGCATGTATTATACATATGAACCTTTCTTAAGAATCACTCTATCTATTAAAAAAATCCGCATCAAAATCCCTTGCGTAGTTTTAAAGATCTTAGCATACATAGGGACAGACAGACGATGGATAGGGACTTTGTTTTTAGCTACTAAGTCTAAAGTTCTAACATCTAACCTATATCTCTATCGATTCCATTCTATATTATCTATCTACATATAAGGAGGTCATGTAAACACAGACTGGCTACGTCCTACTTACTCTTCATTTTAATTATAATAGGAGACGAAACCTTATTATTGAACCTATGCCCATTATAATAATTACATATTTGTGAAGTAGACTCTAAATATTTTACTTCTAAAATTCTCTTATTAGTATTAAAACCATATCTATAGAATAGATTTTATATCACTATACCTTGTCCTGGAGAACCACCACCGCCTCCTGGAGATCCTGAAAAATATCATCATCAGTATTTTCTTAAACTGTCAAACACCAAGCGGTCACCGGTGACCGCAACCTATTGTTCTATAATTGTGTCTATAATGACGGTACTTGACGAGTTAAGACTGATGACTGTTGATGAAGCGAAAGAGGTGTGTAAGAATCGTAGCAATTGGCATTGCATGGGTAGGAACAGGGTGGTTTTTCAGTAGGAGTCTGACACTCCCTCCCGCCTCACCCAGGCGGGAGAAGTCATTCAATGATTTACCCCCCTTAAAAATATAGTCTCGGCCTACCCCCCTGGGAGACAGGTGTGAAATTATGTATGCATGTAATTTCTTAAAGTAGTTTTTCTTTAGAAGAAACCCAGACTCCAGTAGTGGACTGAGACGGGCATTTGATAATGTATTGATGAATGGAATTAGATTTCAAATGAAGTTGTAGCATGATTAAGTACATCCATTCTATATTCATACCTCCTCCTGGTTTGGTCTGAGTAAGCTCGTACGAGGGTGCCGTGTCGTCTGTAAATAAATAATATAATAAATAAAAAAAAACAATTATTTGGAAATTTGACTTGACTGCCTCGTTGGCCGAGTGGTCGCAAGTGCGACTGCCGGGTTGGATTCCCGGGTCGGGCAAAGTATTACGGGGTTTTTAAAAAATCCTCAGTAGTAGCACGGAGTCTGGAAATGTGCCCGGTATATGGCAATAGGCTCACCCCCTATTACATGGGACTCATAACATAAATAGTGAAAAGTGGGTGTTACTTCTGTGTGCACCTCTGCCTACCCCTTCGAGGATAAAAGGCGTGATGATATTATGTATTTGGAAATTAAATCTTACTATAGGTGAGTCCCAATATCTTACTTTTAGTTTGAATTCCGGCTACCACCTGCAACTGCTTGCTAGTCAAATCTGTAAAAAATTTAAAATCATATTATTTTTTTATTGAAGATAATTGGGCATTCGGTAACCTCACTCACACGACGAAACACAACACAACGTTGTTTCACGTCGGTCTTCTGTGAGGCCGTGGTATCACACCGGACGAGCCGGGTTTTTTTGTATATTTATAATAGAAAATGATACAATATTAACTAAAAATCTAAAATTAACGAAAATGATACATTTAAATTAATTGAAATTATTATTAATAAAAATAGAAAAAATAAAATGTAATTTACGTACTTTTCAGTGCTTCTCCGACCTCTGAAAATAAATAAAAGTTAATTTGTATATTGTATATAACTTGTATGTATTGTATATAGGATTCAAAAGATTTTATTTCGAACGCTTCCTTTGCCATCGATCGATACATAAATTAAATTAGGATGTAAATAGATACAATTAATATTAACTATAACTAAATGTAAATATATACAACTTAAAATATAAATAACTATGAACTAAAATATTTACACCTTAAAAAAAGTAATAATAAATAAATACGCTATAATAAGGCATCAAAAAAAAATTCCTTATCTTATATACCTATATATATAGGTAGATACCTATATCCAACCTTCTAACTAAAGATTAAATATTGTGATGACAATTGTTACTACAAAATATACTTACCTTTGAGGAGTGGAGACGACTCTGAAAATGAAATACATAAATTATTAATAACAAATACACAATTCTTGCAGTGTCTGAATTGCATTTTTTTATTTGTATATGAACTACATATTCAAAAACATATCTGTGGATTTGTCAAGGAATCTCTAAAAATCTCTAAGTGGTCTAAGAATTAGACTAAACCACAAAACTGTCTCAAACATCGTTAAAAAGATTCTTTAACGAAGAATTAAATATACTTAACGCTTAAATGAAACATTTTCCCTTTTTTTTTAAGAAAACGTTGCCCCATCCTAGGATTTTCTCCTGAGTTGTGGGTGCGTTTACAAACATAAAAGTTCACATACACATGACACCCAGACCCGAAACAACAATCTATGGATGATACAAAGAGTGGTTGCGTGCGGGATCGAACCCGCGACACGTTGCGCGGCAGCCAATTGCCCAGGCATCGCACCAACCGTGCAATCACGTACTGTTCTTACAACAGTACTATAAGATCTTTTGTTTTCATTTAAAAAAATTACCTACTTAAACAATAAATGAAGAACTACAAATATGTATTCATTACTAGCTTCTGCCCGCGACTTCGTACGCGCAATCCCGTTTTCTTCCGTTCCCGTATGATTTTCAGACCTTTTTCCTGTCATAAAAACCTTCTCCTGACAATAATAAACACAACAAAAAAACAGTCAGCCAAATTGGTCTAGCCGTTCTCAAGTTATGGCGTGACAACGGGAAAAGGGTTTAATATATATCTATATCTATACTAATATTATAAAGAGGAAACATTTGTACCTATTTTTGTATGTTTGTATATGTATGTATAGGCGCAAAAAGTACTCGGCCGATTAAAAAAATTCTTTCACCAATAGAATGCTACATTCTTCCAATTTGACATAGGCTACATTTCATTTTGAAAAAAATTAGGGATTCTTGCTAAAATTTGAACAATGTAACCGAAGGTGTAGAAAAATGAGTCTTAAAATGTCTTTCGTCGAATGCGCTGCCGAAACTATTAGCGATAGAACAAAATAATGTACAAAAATATTGAAGAACATCATAATATCTTCAAAAAACTCCGCGGTAGCCTATGTCCAACTATTGTAGTTATGTCACTACAACAATCCAAATTTCTAAAAATAAATCATTGTCTACCCCGTGCGAAGCCGGGACGGGCTGCTAGTTTTTATATATATAGATATGGTTGTTAATAAAAATAATTGTAATACTCACTTGAATCATGGACTCCATTCCGTGGTACCAAAGGTACCAAAAGTAGGAAACAAGTTGCTATGGTACGCGCCGCTCTCATTTCGACTGTTGAATACTAATTCCCATTTTCCAACCACCAAGCCTTTATATACAAGAAAAATGTGGTAATTAAATTTTATTCATGACATGAGTAAATATAAAAAAATACTGATTTTATTAAGTTTTATATAGAAATCGTGGGTTTGATAAAAAATGGTTTATGACTGTAGTGATACCTAGCGCCTAGTGACACGTGTATAATCCTTTATCGAGGCACTGTCATGTGCTGGTCTTGAAAAGAACATTATATGAAAATTAAAACAGTATCAGTGTAATAGGTACGATACTTAAATCTAACTAAAAAGGATTTATTAAAGTGATTCGAGCGACTAAAAACATAAAGCTCAACATTAACTAAAAATCGCGGGTTACTCACGTGAATATACTGAGAAAAGCTCTACTTTTTTAAGGGGAGAAAATCATCGAATGACTGCTCCCGCCTGGGTGAGGCGGGAGGGAGTGTCAGACTCTTACTGACTAAAAACCACCCGTTCCTTCTCCTGCACGTCGAGCCGGAGCCCCGGTTACCCGTTAGGTTCTCCGCGACTCCGAATTGGCATAATCACATGTTAAAAAATAGATCTGTCCAGCTGCTGTCGATATTAGGACATATTACAATCTAAATGAACTAAAAATTACGATTTTTTTTTAGTTAATCACGTAAATATACTGAGAAAAGCTCTACTAGTTTCGAACCATAAAGGGGTTATTCTTCTTGAGCAGCGTGCGCGGTCGCGGCAATGTCGCGCAGCCTACTGGCTAGCGATGGCGCTCGCATCGGTGTTGATGATGATGCGAGTGTCTAATTAATCTTAGAAAGTACATATAATTCGGAAAAAGTCACATTGATATTTGCTGTTGATAGGTTTCGAACCCACATCCTCATGCATGAGAAGCGGACGTCTTAGTTCTCCGACCACAACCACGACTCCACTAACAAAAGTTTGTACTTAATTATTGTTATAACCATACCTAATAGCTACAAGACATTTAATGCTAAATATAAGCGTTTTCTATGTCTTCTAGATGGCCTAGCTGTTACTGATTTTTAAACTTAAAACAAAGGTTCCATGGTTTATTTTTATTCCTAATTATAGCTAAATTCTAAATCTAATCACAGCTACAATGACTAACCAAATTCAATCGTAAATTCACCACTTCAAAATTCAATTTCCTTTGTCACTTACACAGTATCTATATTAGGTCAAGTAGCTTCGCGTAGCAACTCATAATTCCCATTGTTCAAATCGCTGTTACCCCACACTGTTCCGAAGTCTTTGATGCATACCTAATATGGGATTAATCCGTCGAGTGTATGTCATACACTTAAGTATCTCATGCTAATGCTGAACGAGTATGGCTTCCCAAGGATTTACAATTCCCTCAGGTTGTTTGACGAACAAAATATTACAATTTGATGAGAATCTGAAGTGGTATTTGTTGTTAGTGGGACTCATTTGCATTGTAATAAGGCTAAAGTGGCTTTTGATTGTGTGTGATATGTAGGTCTTATGCCAGTAAGTATGCGTTCTGCTTTTTGAAGTGGTTAATGAAAACTATAATTAAATAGATCGGACTAACTTACCTGTGACGTCCGATCCTCAATTGTGTAGGTAGCGTCATCCTCGCTAATTATACTAGTAGTAGGCACTAATCTGGGCACGCTGTCACAATATTTAAAGATGAACACATTCATAAAAAAA